CCGGCCAAGCCGTCTGATAAAGATGCAATACGGAGTAATGCAGGATAAGTTAAAAAATTTAGTAAAATCTAAATATTTTTTACATTTGTATACTTATCCTGCATTACGAAGTCTAAGTTCCCTCCCTTTCGCTACGCTACCTCCCCACGAAGTTTCAGATGTTATGTTTAAAGCAGTTATGTCTTTTGGTGTGACGTCATGACTTCCGGGTCACGTGCCGACTGTGAGAGGGCGCTGCCTCCTGGGCTGGTTGGGACAACTTTCTTCAGCAGCTGGATCTCACACAGTTCGTCTCTCTGTCAAACATAGCAGTAAATGCAATACGGAGTAATGCAGGATAAGTATACAAATGTAAAAAATATTTAGATTTTACTAAGTAAATGGATTGGCTGAGTGCATTGTACCCTGCAATCGTTGCACACCATGTCAATCACTGGGTTGACTGGTCCAGGCTCCATTATTTACAGGCCACCCCCTTGTAGCTGGAATGATGCTGAGTGCAGCGTTCAACAACAAACAAACAAACAAACTGTATGGTTGTTTGACTTGGGTTATGTCTGACGCTAACCGTACATATGGCAGTAACTTAGTACTGTTTGTACAACATAGTGACTTTCTTGGTTTCTGGACTGTTTCTGGAAGTGGAAGTCTCTTACTTGTATAATTCACATTTGATCTGCTTTTTAAACATTTTTCTTTTGGTTTAAAAATTAAAAGAATTGGTTCTCAGGCAATGGCTTTGAAAATATTGTGCCAGCGAGTGGTATTTTTGTTGTTGTCTTTTTGTTCAAACTCGTATGAAACCAAATGGAAAGTTGTGTACAGTAGAGCTGGGACGGGTAACTCGGGTACGCGGGTCCTACTCAGTACCCACCCGACCCGGGTACCCGAGTTACCCGTCCCAGCTCTACTGTACACAACTTTCCATTTGGACTACAGGACTACAGGACTACCCGGACCTGTGGTTAGTCATGTGATATATTGTTTAATGACAAAAAAAGTAAAAAAGTATCTAGAACTCTATGATTACACTAAGTGACAAATGTTCACATTTCTTTCTGCCTTTATTTGTTTGCAGAAACATAAAACTTCAGTTACACTGTGGTTACACTACAAGTCACAAATGTTTGCATTCCTTCTCACTTTTCATATCTTTGAATAAAGATATAACTTGAGTCAACTTCAGTGTATGCATGACCAGATTGTTTGATACATGTATCAAGATATGCTATGGTAACAAAATGCCCAATCGGACATTTTGTAGCTATCTCTTGAGACCTACAGTGGGTTCCCAGATAGGGTCGGGTAATAGGGGCAGGGTACCTGGGTAGTAAATTTGGACTCGTCCAAGCCCTAGTGTACAGTCAATCTGGGAAAGGGCCTGTAGTGAAATACTGGAGTACAGTGTTTGAACACTTTTGGACTACCAGTATGTGCATAATACACCAATGATCTTTGTTTTTTTAAAAGATTTTAGAAAGGGAAATAAAAACAAAACATGCTGCAGATTTTATGCTGATGTGGGGAGTTCCTGAGAACCAAGACTATTATTTTTTTAGCCTTTGCTAATGTTTTCATGCTCAGTTGTTGATAGTTCTAGGCAGGAGGGATCCAGCATTTTTAAAAGGGAGGGGACCAAAATATCAAAATCCTCTCTCTACATTTGGCTTTCAAAAGAGGGGACACCCTGGAACCCCCTCTCTAGTCTCTGAGTCCGCCTATGCTAGGCAGCATTTGTTTTTTGCAATTTGGTCACGTTAGCGCTCTAAATAGGTCCCAAGCAACTTTTTCTTGTTAGTGTTGTAAATAGGTCCCCAGAACCCTCCTCTGGTCCTACAGTGACGTATTGGATCAGATGGTCAGGTTCCGTGATTGGTTGAATGCGTGTCATCTTCTTCCGATGGTGTGAGAGTTTGATCAAATTGTTATTTACAGGCCACCTAACATGGATGTCTGAAATGTAAGACAAACTATAGAAACACTGATGCTCGTTTGACCAATGTTGTGGTGAATGTGTAGGACTCATACAGGCATATCCATAACGTTTTGTCATGTTCTTCTTTTGTCAGCAGAGAGCAGGTAAATCTAACAGTGGGAGTGGTGTATTAACCCGTAGAAATCTCTGATCTGTCATTAATTCCTCAGTTGATTTTTATTCCACATTCATTTAGACAAATGTTTCATATTTGAAAAAATGTACAATTCCCAAAACAGCCATAACATATTTCCCAGAAACAGGATATTGTGAATTGTGTTATAGTTTCTACAGTTCTTCTGTAATTCAGGACTCAATGAGAATAGGTCTTCAGCAACCCATGGTTGCCGTAACAGGCAACTATGCTTGTGGTAAGAGGCGACTAACAGGATTACATGATCAGGCTCACTGACTTGGTTGATGCATGTTATCATATCCCAATTGTGTGGATTGATGCTCATGATATCAATCACTGCAGTGTCTGGTCCAGACTTGATTATTTGCGGACTGCCGTCATATAGTTGGAATATTGCAGAGTATGGCGTTAAACAACAAACAATCAACACACAAACAGTAATTCATTTGTGTAGTCATACTACAGAAGAAATCGATGTCCGTAGAGTCAGTGATTCGAGGAATTTTTAGACTATTGTTGCCACATCTATCTGGCACCCTGTATTTGTATTAAAGAAGGCATGTTTCTGCCGCTTATCATCCTCGATCATCTGTTTGTCACATCTCTCTGGACCTAGTGGCCCTTACAGCATAAGTTTGAGTCTGTTTGGAATGAAATATTGATCTGCAACTTTGTGTTTTGTCTTGGCATATCTACTAATAATCACCATCCATCAATTTGCATGATCAAAACAATCAGTGACATCATCAGTGCTCAACTCGCCGTATTGGCGAATGTGTCCTGGGTATTTATCTAATAGAATGGATGCATGTAGACTAACGATGTAGTGAGTTGGTTTTAACGTTCTAACGATGAAACACAAAGCACCTGAAACTAACTCAACCAACTTCAGGAGTCACAGTGACCGTCTCCGTGGTCTAGTGGATAGAGTGTCTGACCGAGAGTGGAAGCTAGGGGGTTCGATCCCCGGTCATGTCATACCAAAAGACGGAATATAATACCAAAATATGGTACTTGTTGTTACCCTTCCTGGCACCCTGGCATTAAGGGACTCAAACAAGGACTGGTTGGCTTGAAGTCAGTATTCTGTGTCTGAGTGGGGTATTCATGTTAAACTGCAGCATGGTATCTCAGTGGGCTAGCAGTATAAAATTGGCATTAGTCCGGACTAGTGCCTTCACATCGCTACGTAAGTGCAATAATCTTGAATGACGGTAAACCCCATCTCACCACACCTAGAAGTCACAATCCACAGGTTGAAGGTGGCCAAGTGGGTGCTGGTGCTCCAGCTTACTGTAAGTTATCTCCCTTAGCTAGATCCCCTGGTGATTGGTTTGAATCCCAGATGTTACCCAGATTATGATCCTTGGTCTGTCAGCACCTACCCATGCTCACCAAAGTTGTAAAGGTCAAGGACCTTGGTTTAGATGATGCACCATGATGACTAATATACTAAATAAGGATAAGATATATGGATGAACATCTTCTTTATTACAATTAGGAGTGACGTTTGGGTGTAGGTTCTAACACCATTATCAAGCAAGTGATCTCCAGAGTATGGTTGACAAGTATATATACAGGTAGGAGGCAATGTCTATACAGTAGAGTAGATATCAGATGTAGTTATACTGGAGTGGAGAAGCCTGTTATGAACACAAAAGGGTAGTTAAGACAATAATCTGTATAAACATTGCCTCCTACCTGTTATATACTTGTCAACCATACTCTGTATATCACTTGCTTGATAACAGTGTTAGAACCTACACCGAAACGTCGCTCTTAATTATAATAAAGAAGTTGTTCATCCATTCATCTTATTCTTATGTAGTACTCCAACTTCTTATGCCTATCAAAGAAGTTAAGACTAATGTACTGTTCAACTCATTCACTTAAAACTTCTGAAACATTTCACTCCATTATGTAATGGGGTACTCCACGGTGTTGGCGCTCCGTCTATATCCCCCCTTCCTCCACCCCAGTATTTATCTTAATGCTTCCATGATGAATGTTTCCATGGTAACAAAAGACTTTGGTTCTGTTCATGTCCTATTTGCATGCCATGGTGGGGATTCTATATGAGGATTAGTTACAGAAATGTCACATGTAGAATTTCACTGACTCAGATTCTCAGTTCTGTTGGTGAGGATTGGATGACCAAAATGTCACCAGTGTGTGGTGGTGGGGTAGCCCAGTGGTTAAAGCGTTTGCTCATCATGTCAAATGCCCGGATTCGATTCCCCACCAAGGGTACAATCTGTGGACTCCATTTCTGGTGTCCCCCTCCGTGATATTGCTGGAATATTGCTAAAAGCGGTGTAAAACCATACTCACTCACTCACTCAACTCAAAATTGTAAAGGTCAAGGAATATTGCTAAAAGCGGTGTAAAACCATACTCACTCACTCACCTCAAAATTGTAAAGGTCAAGGAATATTGCTAAAAGCGGTGTAAAACATATCACTCATCAGTGTGTGGCAGATACTCAGTCCCGACCACCTGGGTCCCGTTTTACAAAGCGATGTTAGCCGTACGACTATCGTAAGTCTATGTCAAGGTATGGGAGTTACGATTGTCGTAGTGCTAAGATCGCGCTGGGGAACAGGGCCCAGGAACCACCTCCCAGCTTTGTAGGGCTGAATCGCTGAGTCATCTAATGACATAAATCAATGATCACTCTACTGACAAAAGTCTTTACCGAATTTGATTAAGCCAGTTAAAATGATTTCTTGTCTTTTATTAAGACTGATTTTTTTTGGGCGACATATTTCTATAATTATACTGTTCTTAGCAGTGTAAGAGACTCAACTTGTGTGCTGTATCATTGCAATATGTGCACCTGTTATAATAATAATGGACTGAACTCTATGTATTGCATGTATTGTTCTCCAGAAATACCCTGAGGTGCCAATATTCTGGAAGACAATCGAGATCATCCTCATCATGGTGTTCATGCTGATGTTCCCCATCTTCCGCATCCTGCCACACTTCTTCCCCTACGTGGACTACATGACCACCAAGTTCATCATGAGCATCGGCCTGCTGCTCTTCTACTACCGCACACTGGCGGTCTTCCTCCCTATGAGCCCCACACTCGGTCCCATGCTCATCAGCATCAACAAGATGGTAGGTGCAGTTACCTCCCCTTGTTTTGCCCCATAGTTGTCTCCCCTTCAACTCATGGCTGTAATGTGCCCCTTGCTGTGCCCCTTGTGCCCACTGCTGTGCCCCTTGTTGTGCCCCTCGCTGTCCCCTTTGCTGTGTCCCTTGTTGTGCCTCTGCTGTCCCCTTTGCTGTGCACCCTGCTGGGCCCTTTGCTGTGACCCTTGTTGTGCCCTTTGCTGTGTCCTTAGTTGTGCCCCCTGCTGGGCCCTGTGCTGTGCCCTTTGCTGTGCCCCTGCTGTGACCCCTGCTGTGCCCCTTGTTGTGGCCTTTGCTGTGCCCCCTGCTGTCCCCTTTGCTGTGCTCTTCCTGGGCCCCTCGCTGTGATTTGGCTTGATTCAAGTTTAACTGTAACCACCTATCCTGTGAAGATCTGGGTTAGACTTGGTGATCATCAACTCATTCTTGTCATAAGAGGCGATTTAGGGGATCGGGTGGTCAGGCTCACTGACTTGGTTGATGGATGTCATTGTGTCCCAATTGCTTAGATTGATGCTCATGATGTCAATCACTGGATTATCTGATTCAGTCTTGATTATTTACGGACTGCCATCATATGACTAGAATATTGCAGAAGGCTGCATTAAACAAAGAAAATCCCTCACTAACTCATGGACTGCTCAGTCATGGTGGTTGACATGATTGGGAATACGCCATGATTGGGATTCACATGTAGAATTTCACATCAGGATTGGGAATACGCCATGATTGGGATTCACATGTAGAATTTCACAACATCAGGATTGGGAATACGCCATGATTGGGATTCACATGTAGAATTTCACAAGATCGGGATTGGGAATATGGCATATATGCTGTAGAACCCTATCCATTCACTGCTCTGTTTCTGTAGGTACGGAAGGACTTCATGACGTGGATGCGGATGTTTCTGATCGTGATGGTGGCCGGGGGCATCACAATCCACGCGGTGTTGTACCCCAGCTACCCCCTCACACAGGAGGGCATCAAGAAGGCCCTGGCTCGCGCCTTCTTCGCCATGTTCCTCACCAAGATAGATGACCTGGAAGGTAGGAACTCAAAACAGCATTCCACCATCACTGACATGACATTTAGAGATGTGGTATCTATGGAGACTAACTACAATTTGTTGTCATGGCAACTTCTGTCTTCTTTGAATGCAGTATTATCAAGCAAGTTCCCTCCAACCCTGTCGTCTATCGTAACAATTTTGATATTAATCTGCATTTTAGGTATGCTATGAAATATAATTTTCAGCTTATTTGTAAGGACGCTAAGTTCAATGTTACATTTTTCAGTTAAATAAATGTATGAATGTTGTTTCAGAAAAAGCCTGACCGATGAAGATCCAGGTTAGGATAGGTCTTCAGCAACCCATGTTTGCTGTATATGCTTGTCATAAGAGGCAACTAAAGAGATCAGGTGGTCAGGCTCGCTGACATGGTTGATGCATGTCATTGTGTCCCAATTGCATAGATCGATGCTCATGATATCAGTCACTGGATTGTCTCATCCATTCTTGATTGTTTACAGACCACCATCATATAGCTGGAATATTGCTGAGTTTGGGTTAAACAACAAACAACAAACAAACAATCAGAAAAAGCAAATCCATGTCTTGCAGTTTATAACCTCATGAACTTAATTGGTTGAACATAAAACTGATGCTATTTCCCCGATACTTGTTTCAGGTGATGAAGACTGCAACAACTTGTACCGCAACAAGACGATAGAACACTGCAGCGGTAGGTTCACCACAATGTCATACCACAGTCAATGATCAAACCTTCCCACACTGCCTTGGCTCTGCACGAGTTTATAAAATATTTTCCTCAAAGAATCTGTAGGAACTTAGAAATGGTTGCAGGATGTCTAAGATGGCTTTGCAGAACAGGGCCCGACTCTACAGGCCAATGCTCACTTGCACAAGGCGATCTTAGCGCTAAGATGGTCGTAACTCCCATTCTTTAACATAGGCTTACAATTTTTCGTAGTGCTAAGATCGCTTTGTGCAAGAAGGCCCTGCAGAGCCTCAGATACGGTAAGCTATGTATTGCGTAAAATATGCAAAGTAAGTCACCACTACCCAATTGATTATGAGTTGCTTGCATACAAATACACATGGGGGAGCACAGGTGGCCCAGTCGTCTAAGGCGCCGCGATTCGCGTCCCTTGGGCACGCCAGAAACCTATGATTGTGGGTTCGAATCCCGGTTCGCCCCAATTATGTTTCTAGGTTTGTCAGCACCATACCCGTGCTCATGGGTTTCACCGAAGTGGTAAACGTCTAAAATCTGCATCACTTCGGGCTTTCCTCCCACATTAAGCTGACACGCTGCGATGTAACTGGAATACTGTTAAAAAAGCGGTGTTAAACCCAACTCACTCACTCACAAATACACATGAAGAATTGTTTTGTTATGATTATATTGCTGTGGTGAGGTCATGTGGCATGTGACACACTTGGGGAAACACACGAACAGATGCAAATTGGAAGTGTGAGTGAGCGAGTTGGATTTATTGCTGCTTTTAGCAAATTGGAAGTCACCTGAAACACAATTTTAGCACATTATTACTCAGAGGTGTAAAAATGCCCATAAACCCAATGGACACAATGGACCCATTAATGGACCCAACAATAGAGCCAATAATAGACCCAATAGACCCAATAATAGACCCAATAATAGACCCAATAGACCCAATAATAGACCCAATAATAGACCTAAAGGACCCAACAGACCGAAGGGAGTAAACAATTATTAAATACCTGAAGAAAACTATCAACACCCAATGTGAATGATAACTCTGGAGTAAAATACCCAGTGGCTGAAAACATGAGCCCTGACAGGCATTAGTTGCTGTATGACGTACACCGGTACTGCTGAGTCAGCACTATGAATGCTTCACTACAGCTTGTAGTACATGAGCCCTGACAGGCATTAGTTGCTATGTGACGTACACCGGTACTGCTGAGTCAGCACTATGAATGCTTCACTACAGCTTGTAGTACATGAGCCCTGACAGGCATTAGTTGCTGTATGACGTACACCGGTACTGCTGAGTCAGCACTATGAATGCTTCACTACAGCTTGTAGTACATGAGCCCTTCCTTCTGTTTCAGTCAGTTCCAGCACCTCCGGCACTGGTAAGTACACATGCAGGGTCTCATGCTGTGTGCAGGCATATGTTGGGTTGAAGGGAATATTCAGCATTTTGTAAAATGATGTTTTTTGTTGAGGGAGTTGTGACAATTTAAATGCAGTTTTGATAAACGCCAGTCATTAAGTAACAATTTTAATGTTCTTTGTAGAAATAGATGATGTTTTGTGCTGCAGCTAATGACAGCTGATGTTTTGAGCTGCAGCTAATGACAGCTGATGTTTTGTGCTTCAGTTAATGACAGCTGATGATTGGTGCTGCAGCTTATGACAGCTGATGTTTCGTGCTGCAGCTAAAGACAGCTGATGTTTTGTGCTGCAGCTAATGACAGCTGATGTTTTGTGCTGCAGCTAAAGACAGCTGATGTTTTGTGCTGCAGCTAATGGCAGCTGATGTTTTGTGCTGCAGCTAAAGACAGCTGATGTTTTGTGCTGCAGCTAATGACAGCTGATGTTTTGTGCTGCAGCTAAAGACAGCTGATGTTTTGTGCTGCAGCTAATGGCAGCTGATGTTTTGTGCTGCAGCTAAAGACAGCTGATGTTTTGTGCTGCAGCTAATGACAGCTGATGTTTTATGCTGCAGCTAAAGACAGCTGATGTTTTGTGTTGCAGCCAATGACAGCTGATGTTTTGTGCTGCAGCTAAAGACAGCTGATGTTTTGTGCTGCAGCTAATGACAGCTGATGTTTTGTGCTGCAGATAATGATGGATGATGTTTTGTGCTGAAGTGATGGCTGATGTTTTGTGTTGCAGCCAATGACAGCTGATGTTTTGTGCTGCATTTAATGTTCTACAGCTACTGACAGCTGGTGTTTTGTTCTACATCAACTGACAGCTGGTGTTTTTTTCTACAGCTAGTGACCAGTTGAACCGATGCCCTTACAGCAGCCTAGGGGGGTATGCCATTGTCATCCAGTACCTGCTCATCACCAAGCTTGTCCTCATCACCCTACTCTACGCTATGTTCAGGTAGTTTTCTGGCAGTTCTGGCGTGGGTATGAGCTGTTACTTTCAAGTCTGACCTGGATCAATTAGCAGATAAACTTAACTGTAGATTTAATTACCGTATTTTCTTTAGTATAGTGCGCACTTTTTTTCGAAAAAAACACAGCTGTGTAGAAGGGGGTGCGCATTATACACGAATTATGAGTTTGGATGTTTTTCTCCCCCATGGAAAGACATTACCGTGAGCACGAAACACCGGAAATACCATGTCAACAAATCCATAATGAAGTACGCAAAATAATCATGTAATTACACTGTCTGACTATAAAAAGTGTTCTTTGTATATCTGGAATTATGTTTGTAACTTATTTCATTAATTTTATTCAAAATTCCTTATACAGTAATATTGTTTTTATTAATTTTGGCGAAATCGTGTGTGAAGCAATCGGAAGATCGCACAACTCACCGTTATTAACAGCAACCACGGTCTGAATACCGCTATTGAAGCCTTGAAACAAACTTTAGTTGACAGAGAATGGATACATATATCATAAATGACATACTTTGACTCGTTAAAAATCATATTTGTTTTTTATTTGACGATTCTATGTCAACATGAAGTTCTCGCGATCACGCGATCACGTGTGCGTGAGCCTTGACGGTGACTGGTCAGACTGGTTCCATGTAAAAAATAATACCCGGGAATAGCGATCAGCTGCTTCGCTTAGGGTTATTATTATTTTAAATATGTTTAGTAAAGGCTGCATATAATTAAGAAAATAATGGAATATATTATTCCTGATAAAAAAAAATAGTTTCAGATACAATTGTTGCCGATCCTTGCATTAAAAATCCTGTAAAGTTATATCATTGGGTGTGTCTTGACCGAATCACCGGTCGATTCCAAGAAAACGTGTGTACAGCTGATTACTGTTTCCGGCTTAGTTTACGAGAAAATACACAAGGTAATCTTAATCTCTAGATATAAAACAATGCCTAGCAGAACAATAAATACTATTTAAACAGTAAATAAACATGTCTGGTGACTTTTTTATCTCAAATTTCGAATTTGTACTGACGATGTTTCTCAGCACCTGTTCGTTTGCCGGACTTCACTGAAAGGGTACGGTGTAAAAAATTTCTGCGCATAATATTCAAAAAAAATTTCTACAAAATATTGAACCCGCTAGAGGGGGGTGCGCACTATACTCAAGAAAATACGGTAAGCATAATTAATTTAATTTGGAATGAACATGTAGCAAAATGATTCAGAAAAAGTACTTTTCTATAAATAGTCACTTACATGGTAATGCAGCCATTCAATCAGCTTTTGATAGGAAGTTATTGCGATTTGAAACCTCTGACTGACCAATCAGATAATGGGTTTTCTAAATTCATGGTAAAATTTTATGAAAAATATAGGAGAAGAAACATTCTGAAGGATGTTTATTTGTGAACTTTCTAAAGTGTAGTTTTTACATTGAAACTCCAGCGACACTAACGCCCGAATCAGCAATGAAGCTGAGGAGATATGGAAGTACCAGCGCTACACCATCATCGTGGACTTCGACGAGCGGCTGCGCCTGCCGCCCCCGCTGACGCTGATCAGCTACATGTGCATGTTCCTGTCGCTGGTGTGGAGGAAGCTGAAGCAGCTGTACTACCGATGCCGCTCCTGCTGCAAGTGTGTCAAGAAGGACATGAAGGTATTGTGTGTTGTACAGTCTACAATAGTCCAGTTATATTAGACCATCTCAGTGATCTTGTGGACAGTGAGTGAGTTGGGCTTAATGCCGCTTTTAACAGTATTCCTGTTATATCACGACGTGTCATCTTAATGTGGCATTAAACCGCACTCACTCACTCACTCACTCACTCACTCACTCTCACACCCATACACCCACCCACCCACCCACCCACCCACTCACTCACTCACTCACTCACTCACTCACTCACTCACTCACTCACTCACTCACTGACTGAATCTTGTAGTTATATCTGACTGCCTCTGTGGTCTAGTGGATAAAGTGTCTGCCTGAATAGTGAAAGTCTGCAGTACAAGACTTACTTTGGGTGTTTCCATCCTCTAGGACGGTATGAAGAAGGTCCAGATTATGAAAGTGAGGCGGACAGTGGATTTCAACTACTGGAAGAGTTGTCTGCAGACCTTCAATACAGAAGAGGAACAGGAGCTGATAGAGAGACACAGGAACAAGGAACAGAGTGATAGGTGAGGGGTGGGGCAGGGGCAGGGCCAGGGGTGGGTCAGTTGTAGGTTTCGGGCAGAGGCAGGGGCAGAGGCTGCCCTTGTGGGGCACGGGATATGTAGGGCCACAGATCGGGTGGACAGGTGCAGGGGTGGGTCAGTTGTAGGGGTCAGGCATGGGCAGGGTCAGGGGCTGACCTTGTATGGCAGGGGATATGTAGGGCCACAGATGGGGTGGACAGGTGCAGGGGCAGAGGCTGCCCTTGTGGGGCAGGGGATAGGTAGGGCTGGAGATTGGGTGGACAGGTGCAGGGGTGGGTCAGTTGTAGTGGTCGGCAGGGGCAGGGGCCAAGGCTGCCCTTGTGGGGCCCGGGATGTGTAGGGCCGGAGATGGGGTGGACAGGTGCAGGGGATATGTAGGGCCACAGATGGGGTGGACAGGTGCAGGGGATATGTAGGGCCACAGATGGGGTGGACAGGTGCAGGGGCAGAGGCTGCCCTTGTGGGGCAGGGGATAGGTAGAGCTGGAGATGGGGTGGACAGGTGCAGGGGATATGTAGGGCCACAGATGGGGTGGACAGGTGCAGGGGCAGAGGCTGCCCTTGTGGGGCAGGGGATAGGTAGAGCTGGAGATGGGGGCGGACAGGTGCTGGGGTTTTGGGAAGCAGGGTTGGGGAAGGTGACGGAGTGGGACAGGAGATGAGTGGGGTAGCTCCAGGGATGGGGCACTTGTAGGGGTTGGGAAGGAGATAGGAGCATGGTGAGGGAGACGAGACAGGTGAAGGGATGGGCCAAGTCAGGGGGTTGGGTATAGGAAGGGGTTGTAGGGCAGTTGACACCTGAAGTCTTTTAGTACAGTTCCTGGTTTGTAGTAGCTAGGAAGGGATAGTCACTTGTGGAGGAAACATTCAACACTGCCTGTATTTGTTCCCCTAGCTTGTCTCGGCTGATTGATGACATGGAACTGCAGAAGGACAACCATCGCAGAATGAACAACCGTGTGGTCCACGTGGAGAAGAATGTCACGGTCTGTCGGCTGCTCCTCGAGGAGATGAAGCATATGATACAGAACCTGGGTATGTGTGATACTGAGCCTGGGTACGTGTGATACAGAGCCTGGGTACGTGTGATACAGAGCCTGGGTACGTGTTATACAGAGCCTGGGTACGTGTGATACAGAGCCTGGGTATGTGTGATACAGAGCCTGGGTACGTGTGATACAGAGCCTTGGTACATGTTATACAGAGCCTGGGTACATGTGATAGGTAACCCACGTATGTGTGATACGGAACCTTGGTATGTGTGATACAGAATCTGGGTAAGTGTTATACCAAGCTTGGCTACATGTGATACAGAACCTTGGTATGTGTGATACAGAACCTGGGTATGTGTATTACAGAACCTGGGTACGTGTGATACAGAACCGGGGTATGTGTATTACAGAACCTTGGTATGTGTGATACAGAACCTGGGTACGTGTGATACAGAACCTGGGTATGTGTATTACAGAACCTTGGTATGTGTGATACAGAACCTGGGTATGTATGATACAGAACCTTGATATGTGTGATCCAGAACCGTGGTATGTGTGATACAGAACCTGGGTATGTGTGATCCAGAACCGTGGTATGTGTGATACAGAACCTGGGTATGAATGATACAGAACCTTGGTATGTGTGATCCAGAACCATGGTATGTGTATTACACAACCTTGATATGTGTGATCCAGAACCGTGGTATGTGTGATACATAACCTGGGTATGTGTATTACAGAACCTTAGTATGTGTGATACAGAACCTGGGTACGTGTGATACAGAACCTTAGTATGTGTGATACAGAACCTAGGGTATGTGTGATACAGAACCTGAGTATGTGTATTACAGAACCTTAGTATGTGTGATACAGAACCTGGGTACGTGTGATACAGAACCTTAGTATGTGTGATACAGAACCTAGGGTATGTGTGATACAGAACCTGAGTATGTGTATTACAGAACCTTAGTACGTGTGATACAGAACCTGGGTACATGTGATACAGAACCTTGGTATGTGTGATACAGAACCTAGGGTATGTGTGATACAGAACCTGGGTATGTGTATTACAGAACCTTAGTACGTGTGATACAGAACCTGGGTACATGTGATACAGAACCTGGGTATGTGTGATACAGAACCTTAGTACATGTGATACAGAACCTAGGGTATGTGTGATACAGAACCTTGGTATGTGAGATACAGAACCTTGGTACGTGTGATACAGAACCTTGGTATGGGTGATACAGAACCTAGGGTATGTGTGATACAGAACCTAGGGTATGTGTATTACAGAACCTTTGTATGTGTGATACAGAACCTGGTTACGTGTGATACAGAACCTGGGTACGTGTGATACAGAACCTGGGTACATGTGATACAGAACCTTGGTATGTGTGTTACAGAACCTTGGCATATGTGATACAGAACCTTGGTATGTGTGATACAGAACCTTGGCATATGTGATACAGAACCTTGGTATGTGTGATACAGAACCTTGGTATGTGTGATGCAGAACCTAGGGTACGTGTGATACAGAACCTGGGTACATGTGATACAGAACCTTGGTATGTGTGTTACAGAACCTTGGCATATGTGATACAGAACCTGGGTATGTGTATAACAGAACCTTGGTATGTGTGATGCAGAACCTTGGTATGTGTGATACAGAACCTTTGTATGTGTGATACAGAACCTGGGTATGTGTATTACAGAACCTTAGTACGTGTGATACAGAACCTGGGTATATGTGATACAGAACCTGGGTACATGTGATACAGAACCTTAGTACGTGTGATACAGAACCTGGGTACATGTGATACAGAACCTTGGTATGTGTGATACAGAACCTTGGTATGTGTGATACAGAACCTAGGGTATGTGTATTACAGAACCTTGGTATGTGTGATACAGAACCTGGGTACGTGTGATACAGAACCTGGGTATATGTGATACAGAACCTGGGTACATGTGATACAGAACCTTAGTACGTGTGATACAGAACCTGGGTACATGTGATACAGAACCTTGGTATGTGTGATACAGAACCTAGGGTATGTGTGATACAGAACCTAGGGTATGTGTATTACAGAACCTTGGTATGTGTGATACAGAACCTGGGTACGTGTGATACAGAACCTGGGTACATGTGATACAGAACCTTGGTATGTGTGATACAGAACCTGGGTACATGTAATAAAGAACCTTGGCATGTGTGATACAGAGCCTGGGTATGTGTATTACAGAACCTTGGTATGTGTGATACAGAACCTGGATACGTGTGATACAGAACCTTGGTATGTGTGATACAGAACCTAGGGCAGGTGTGATACAGAACCTTGGTACGTGTGATACAGAACCTTGGTATGTATGATACAGAACCTGGGTATGTGTGATACGGAACCTAGGGTATGTGTGATACAGAATATGGGTAAGTGTTATGCCGAGCTTGGCTACATGTGATACAGAACCTTGGTATGTGTATTACTGAACCTGGGTATGTGTGATACAGAACCTATGTGTGTGATACAGAACCTATGTGTGTGATACAGAACATGGGTACATGTGATACAGAACCTTGGTATATGTGATACGGAACCTGGGTATGTATGATACAGAACCTGGGTACGTGTGATACAGCACCTGGGTACTTGTGAAAGTATTGTCATTATAATGCAGCCAGTAGTCATCGAAGTAGATATATATTTACTGCTGCTTTATTGACTGACTTGTTGTTTGCCAGATCCAAAGAGCCAGGGCCTGAAGCCGGTGCAGCAGCTCGTGCATGTGTCGGCCCGCCAGTCCCCCTACCCTGGGACACGCACACAGCGCTTCCCCGTCTTTGATAAATACGTGGCCTGGGAGGTGAGTCACAATGACGACGCGGCAGGCAATTACGACACGGCAGGGAAAACTATCTGTGTCTGAATTAAAAAACAGTCAATATCTGTCCCTTCACTGATATTAACACTGACCATGTTTGTCCATCATGTTTTGTTTAAGCAGAACTCAAAAACCATGAGAGATATCTTAACCAAACTTGGCACATAGATAGGTCTAGTGGTGAACTGGTACCTTTTGATAGTTTGGGATTTAAAAAAAAAATTTTTTTCAGTTTCCATGGTAACAACTTAGACTTGTTTTATTGGGGTTCATTACCAATGCGTGAGGGGCATATGTTGTTTTATCTGACAGCTGTCTAAAAGTAAAAAAGTATAACATGTGCTCTTTTCAGCAGTACAGGATTAAGAAAGGAAATAATCTGAATTTTGAATGAAAATCTAATTGCTTTATATATGTGTCAAGTGATAAATCATTGGCTAGTGGTTTCTGTGCAGGTTGTGTATGAGGCGTATGACCCGACGTACATGACACGCCCCCTGGAGGACTTCAACGAGGAGTACGCTCCCTTTGTGGACCCGGACATTATGGAGTAAGTATGTACAGACAGCGAATATACTGTTACTGGTCATGTGTGGGATGGGGTCGCCCGACTTGGAGGTGAAGTTCATTGTGTGCCATTATACCCAGAAGCCATGGAATGTTGCTCATAATATCAACCACTTACATGTCTACCTCACAACCTTCCTGGGGGCACGGGTGGCCCAGTCGTCTAAGGCGCCGCGATTCGCTGTGCAGAGTTGCGTCACCTGGACACGCCAGAAACCTATGATTGTGGGTTCGAATCCCGGTTCACCCCAATTATGTTTCTAGGTTTGTCAGCACCATACCCGTGTTCGTGGGTTTCACCGAAGTGGTAAACATCTGAAACCTGCATCACTTCGGGCTTTCCTCCCACATTAAGCTGACACGCCGCGATGTAACTGGAATACTGTTAGAAGCGGCGTTAAAACACAACTCACTAACTAACACAACCTTCCTGACCTCACAACCAATGAGAACTCCCTTCCTGACCTCACAACCAATGAGAACTCCCTTCCTGACCTCACAACCATGATAACTCCCTTCCTGACCTCACAACCAATGAGAACTCCCTTCCTGACCTCACAACCAATGAGAACTCCCTTCCTGACCTCACAACCAATGAGAACTCCCTTCCTGACCTCACAACCATGATAACTCCCTTCCTGACCTCACAACCAATGAGAACTCCCTTCCTGACCTCACAACCAATGAGAACTCCCTTCCGGACCTCACAACCAATGAGAACTCCCTTCCTGACCTCACAACCATGACAACTCCCTTCCTGACCTCAAAACCAATGAGAACTCCCTTCCTGACCTCACAACCAATGAGAACTCCTTTCCTGACCTCACAACCAATGAGTGCTCCCTTCCTAACCTCACAACCAATGAGATCTCCCTTCTTGACCTCACAACCATGATACTTTGTTTTTAGACTCCGCCATGAGGAACAGTCCCGACAGAAGATGAGTCCTGAGGAAGTGGAGAAGTTGTCCCCCTTGCCTGAATTCACTCCCATGTGGAACACCGTGTTTATCGAGAAGGTTGACGATGTTAGTGTTGATTTGGATCGTACTTCATGGATCACGTTCGACAACCAGCCTCTGAGATATAAATTGGACACGACAGACCTTCCACAGTGAGTTGTCTGGTTGAGTCTTAAGGATGGGATCTGGGATTCTTTCATATTGCTATAGTTAATCTGTCATAGCACTAGTAATTGCTTGAATATGGTTTTATTTGTGCCCTAATCGGCAGATCCGTTTGCATTCCAGTTATCATTCTCAACTCCCTGGGGAGTATACAACCCAAGCTGCCTACGGTAGCTAGAAGGTATTATTTACCCACCTCAAATTTCGGGTACTCCTTCTGGGTGAACAGAGGCACATTAGAACAAGTCGCTTGCCCAGAGTGACACCACACGTTTTGACACTTGTGTTTTGGGTGTGTGTACGTATTCGTGTTTCCACCATCTGCTACCATTGGACGAGCGGGTTCTTTGAGTGCACAGGGTGTATGTACTGTACACTAGGGGTAGTGACAACACTGTAAAGACCTGTCAACACTGTTGGTCCCAAGGCTGAATAACAACCCGGTCACTAGCGGGATACGATTTCAGCACCTGGCGCTTGCTAGCCTGGCACTTTTGAACGCATGCCACTCCGCCTCCGGAGTAGGAACCCACTGGGCAGGATGGGTATCCGTGGGCGGGGTAAGTTATGATTTAGGTGATGTGTGCAGGAACCCACTGGACAGGACGGGTATCCGTAGACGGGCCAAGTTATGATTTAGGTGATGTGTGTAGGAACCCACTGGGCAGGACGGGTATCCATGGGCGGGGCAAGTTATGATTTAGGTGATGTGTGTTGCAGGAACCCTCTGGGCAGGACGGGTATCCGTGGGCGGGGCAAGTTGTGGAGGTGGGGCCCCAACCATCGTATTGCAGCCGTGGTGACACGGTGGAAGAGGAAGTACTCGCCGCTGGGCTACCCTCTGGACCACATTGTCGTCGAGGGGAAGAGGGTCCTGGAGTTCATTGTGGTCCCCCGGCCGGATACAGGGGAGCTAACTCTTCCAGGGGTAAGTATCTCCGACTTAAGGTTCAGTGTTTGTCTGTTGCAGGCTTCAGCCAACATTATTCAAACTCTATCATGGCAGACTAGGGGTGGTGGGGTAGCTTAGTGGTAAAAGCGTTTGCTCGTCATGACGAAACCACTCACTCACTCACTCACTCACTCACTCACTCACTCACTCACTCACTCACTCACTCACTCACTCACTCACTCACTCACTCACTCACTCACTCACTCACTCAAGGCTGCAGTTAATGGAGTCCATGGATACATGTGTTATGGACATCCTACGGCATCGGTGCAATGACACACAGTCGAGGCAGTGAGTAAGACCACCTGAACCAGCTCTTGCAGGCCGGGTTATTGAAATACAGTTTATAATAGTGTAAGTCCGACTCACTCATTCGAACATATAAACAACTGCTTGAGAAGTATTCCAATAGGAATGGCATGTTATGTATCATGTTCCTATTATGAATCTCCATTTATACGTCACCCATAGTATGTGTATCATCTGTAGCACTCACGACTCACTCACTTGCTGTGAAGATCCGGGGTACAATAGGTCTTCAGCAACCCATGATTGCTGTGTAGCACTCGCTACTCACTCACTTGCTGTGAAGATCCGGGGTAGAATACATCTTCAGCAACCCATGATTGCTGAGTAAGGCGACTATGCTTATCGTAAGAGCGACTAACGGGATCGGGTGGTCAGGCTCACTGACTTGGTTGATGCATGTCATCATATCCCAGTTGCATGGATCCATGCTCATGATGTCAATCACTAGATTGTCTGGTTCAGAATTGATTATGTACAGACTGATATCTTGTTGCTGGAATAGTGCTGATTGCGGAATTAAACAACAAACAAAAAAACAAACAAACACTTGCCTTGGACAGGCATTCAGAACTTTCACAAACTAATTTATTGTTTGTAATGACGTTTCCGGGCTTTTTCTTGCCCCTTCATCAGGTTAATACAGAGTAGTGTTGTGAGTTAATATATATATAGATGCAGGCTGATATGTTTACACAAGGTGGGATTAATGTACAAAGATGACCATGTAACGAGGAAACTCACTCACTTGTATCGGTAAATACAATACGAGAAGGCTGTTTGAAGGTCATGGGCTTGTAGTCCAATGTGTGTTGTGTTGTTAACTATACAAATGACTGCATGGTTCCAGGGTAACGTGTACGGCATGACCACTTCCTATGGTGTGATGTGTGAGGAGTTTATGAAGGGTGTTCTCAACACAGAGGATGCTGAGGAATGTCAGCGGTTCGGGGAGGAAGATATGATCAACGTAAGTACTGTTAGGTTACGACATGTTCACACTCCAGCCATTCCAAGTCAGAACCCCAATCTATTGTATATACGGTGACTGGATGAGGAATGTCAGTAGTTCAGGGAATCAGATAGGATCAGCGTAAGTACTGTTAGGTTACGACATGTTCACACTCCAGCCATTCCAAGTCAGAACCCTTGCCTATAATACATGGTACCTGATTGAACAGCAATGGCCTGTAAATGTTTGGATGTACAATGACATGAAATCCCTTTCTGTCAGCAGTGGTCTGGCTGTGTGAATGGGGATCTTTTATGATCATAACATGGGTTGTAATAACCTGCAGATAGCTGAGGATGGGATATTGCACATTTATCCATTAACTTGTTTAATATTAATACAGTATGTGACTGAAATGGTTTGTGGAAACATTTTCAATTGATTGGAACTTCTTAATATGTGACGAACCAGGAGATAAGGGACCTTATGGGTGAAAAGTCCCATTTTGACTTTTCATTATAATTTAAAACAACAGTATCTTCGGAATGCAAAAATATAATTTGCAAGTTTCAATTCATATTTATTACAGAGATACATGACATCAAACAGTTGGACTCAAACAAATAACTGTTTATGTAATAATTACGGTTTTTAGACATTATGTCTGATGAATTGAAAGTAGACATGTATGCTGAAAGGTTTTGAAATAAAGTTTTTATTACATAAAAAACTAATGAGAAAAGAATTAGGTATTTTTGTACAGTCCGCACCAGGGGTCCGGAAACCGTCATATGCGCCGGACATGTCCGATTGGGAATCTCAAATGTCCGTTTTAAAATATTGTTACCGGACATTTTAAAAAGTATTGTCCGGACATTCTTAAATTTTGACCGGACATGATCAACAGTTAGGACTGAGCAGATTTTAAATTTTCCGGACCCCTGGTCCGCACACATGGTGATCTTCACCGAAGTAAGTTGACGTCAAACATCTTTATGACGTCATGGCACAGTTGCATCTTAGCACCCTTAAGGTCCCATTTCTCCCATCTTTCCGAGGCAAGCGAGTTAACTGACTTTAAAAGTCCAGTTTCCACCCTTGCCGAACTAGGCTTGAATTCCTGGGCTCGATCGTAGCGCCACCAGTGGTTATTACAAGTTATGTCCCTTCTAAACCCCTCCCATTGACCAATCAGATTCCATCTCTCGTATCACTTGCATTTGATTCAAACTAAATGGCGGCGCCCAGTCAAGACGATCTGATCAATAATCAAGATCTATATTGTGTTAAAACGGGTCTTACATCGCAAAGTGCATCAAATCACGTGAGCACCTTGATTAAAATCATGAAAAGATTTGGAAAATATCTGTTAACAACGAGTTAGCGGTGCACATGCTTTGCAAATCCTGCAATCGATCGAAATCAGCACGATAGTTTATGAACCGGATTTCGATTTCGTTGCGCGATTTTGATTTGACTATGCATAGACTCGTTAGCACAGCCAAAATGTAACTCCATAATACCAGCCTAGTTCGGCAAGGGTGGAAACTGGACTTTTATAGTCAGTTAACTCACTTGTCTCGGGAAGATGCATTTCTCCTGGTGGGTCACATATGTGGATGATTCTTAGCTCAGCGTACTAGACGAAACAAAGGTGTGTTCCGGCTGCCACTAGTGTCTGAAGATGCAGACAACTATTTAAGTAAAACATCTTTATCTTCCAGTTCTTTGCCGAGTTTGCAATGTCCACCTCCAGTGAAACACTGTACAAGCTATCGCAGATGAACGCAGCAGCAAAAGGCTTCAGTGCCCAGATCCTGTACCGCGGCTACATCGACGACCCCTCCAACACCGACAACGCCTGGAGGGAAGCAGAGGTGTGGAACTTCCACTACCAGCTCAGTGACACACTTGACGACAGGATCCCAGTGGTGAGTTGTTTTTCATGGCGGAGAGATCATTCATGACTATGGCGGAGGGTGCTGCGTTTATTACCGAAGATGTTCAAAGTACAAAGATTGTTTATTTTATTTTTTTAATAATGCAACAACTAAACAACTAAAGAGGTTCAATATACCAAAGAACCAATGGAGCAAAGCACAGCCAATGAGAAATATCATTGTGAGGGCTATTCAACCAATCAAAAGCTAGTAAATTGTATTGTAAGAGCTATTCACATGATTCAACCAATCAAAAGCTAATAAATTGTATTGTAAGAGCTATTCAACCAATCAAAAGCTAATAAATTGTATTGTAAGAGCTATTCAACCAATCAAAAGCTAATAAATTGTATTGTCAGGGCTATTCAACCAGTCAAAAGCTAATAAATTGTATTGTAAGGACTATTCAACCAATCAAAAGTTAATAAATTGTATTGTAAGGGCTATTCAACCAGTCAGAAGCTAACAAATTGTATTGTAAGGGGTATTCAACCAATCAAAAGCTGATTAATTATATTGTAAGGACTATTAAACCAGTCAAAAGCTGAGAAATTCTGTTTTAAAACCTATTCCACCAATCACAAGCTGAGAATTTCTTTTGTAAGTGCTTTTCAACCAATCAGAAGAATCAAAGTACTTTTTAAAGGGCTATTCAACCAATCACAAGCTCTAATGTCCACATCAGCAATTGTTTTGGAGCTGAATAGAAATATGTACGCAAACTCCAGATTCCAGGCTGCATGTAGGAATAAGGTGGTCAGTAACATGAAACGAATGATCAAGCCACATGGTATATTTGTTCCAGAGAGAAAATGCCTGGAGAGAAATATCCCCCTACACCCGTCTCTATGGCAACCAAGATTCCATTGTGAAAGAAGCAGCAAGGATACACGATTCCTACTTTTAACCCTTGTGGAGTTCTCCATCACCTGGTATCTATCTCAGCAATATAACCAGCACTGCTTCCTGAACACTCAGCAGTGTACATACATCACAAGTGCCCTATACGTGCCATTAGAATTTTGGTTACTCCATCCAGCTATGCAGAGGTTGCCATAGTAACAGGGATCTGTTTACCTTCCAGTGATGACAATCACGATGTGGCCATAAGTATTAGTTGAAGATTAGCAATGTCACCATTACAATACCAGGATGAAGACTGGAGACAAGTGATGCCAGGATGAGGACAGATTAGTATGTCGCCATCTGCGACATTAGAAGCGACTAACGGGATCGGGTGGTCAGGCTTACTGACTTGGTTGATGCATGTCATCGATCCCAATTGCGTGGATCGATGCTCATGATATTAATCACTGGATTGTCTGGTCCAGACTCGATTATTTACAGACAGCCATCATATAGCTGGAATATTGCTGTGTGCGGCGTTAAACAACAAACTTGAAAAACAGGATGAAGAGATATATAAATACAGACATCGGTCTGGATTAAGATGATAATTGTATGGTGGAATATTGTTTTGTCCTACACCCAGCAAGATGAGCATGCTTCACTGCTACATCGCAGACCTCAGGTCCAAGGCAGGTGCTTGCCCCAGTGTTGGTTGTGCATATGGATGGATGTACTCTGTATGTGTCTTAAGCAGGGCGAAGTGTCTTGAACATTGATGAGAGTCTCTGGTCAAAGTGTGCAGCTATTTGGGGGATACTATTGCAGGAAGCTCACACTGTGCCATGAATAATGTCATGTTTGCAGCAGATTGTCAAGAATATTACATTTGGAATGCTGGATTCTGTAAGAATGTTATAATTTCAGTTCACAGCGATTTGAATCTCATGAGTTTAGCTGCAGCCTCGACTGGTGTTCTACATACCCAACAGAACAATGTATATGTTCAAGAGTATCTTAGATGATGTCTCAGCGTGCATGTTATATATTATTGCCATTTTGAAGAAGCACATCAGAACATTTGTTGACTTGTCATTAAGGCAGTTTGTTTTTTGATAATGTCTTTTTAAGAAATACTGGTGCAGATAGGCGAGTCCCTCTTTCTCTGTGTGTAAAATTGTGGAACTGAGCTGTTATATATATATATACATATATACATACAATGTATATGAGAAGGAGAAATATGTTTTCTTGATGTGCGATATGTTAGAATGAATTGTTTAGTTTATTTTGGGTTGGTATTATTGAGGTGAGGTGAGGTGAGGTGAGGTGAGGTGAGGCGAGGCAGGGCGAGGTGAGGTGAGGTGAGGAGAAATGGGTCTTTACATCATGTTTAAGATTATTGTGCATTTATTGCGTCATGCATTGAACATGTATGTGTGTCTGTCTGAACTCGTTCAGTCTAATGACGGTTTTATAGTGCTAGCCACAGCTCAAACAGATCTGAAGAATAATTTGACTAATTATATTTTATTATATTTAGTGACATATTTTCGTGATTAAAAAATAGTTGCTTTTATTTTTAGACCCGACAATATAGTCATTGCCCAGGACAGGGAAGTGCCTGATCAACAATTACCGTAGTCAACGTAGTAACAGTTTCAATGCGTGTTACTTCTTATCGGTCTGGTCAGTTTCTTTGTAAAATTGTTTCATGATTATGACAGTTTGGGGATTCAGATCACAAGAGTAACGTGTAACTTTTCATTATCAAGAACTATTGGATATAATCTATAGACAGGAAAGTAATGTCATATTCATTTGGAGAATTATCAATGCAGGGTACTTAATATATGAAATGACCTTAGATATCATACATATTTTTATTCAGCCTTGTTGCTTGTCTTGCCAGCTCTGTGGGCTCGCAATGGTTTGCTGTTCTCTGTATGTAACATGGACGCTATGGAACCTCTGTGAACACTGTTTAACACTGTTTAACTGTGTGATTGATGAAGACAATCAGTTATTGTTGTGTAGGTGTGTGTCAGCAAAGTGTGATAGACCAATACTAATGTTCTGTAGTATATAGATAGTAATCGATGATGTTTCATGGTCACATGTAACTGATGATCTGTCATGGTCACATGTGACTGATGTTACATGTAACTGATGTTTGATGGTTGCATGAAGTGATCATGTTTGATGGTTACATGTAGCAGATGATGTTTCATGGTCACATGTAACTGTTGATGTTTGATGGTTACATGTAACTGATGATGTTTGATGGTTACATGTAACTGATGATGTTTCATGGTCACATGTAGCAGATGATGTTTGATGGTTACATGTAACTGATGATGTTTCATGGTCACATGTAGCAGATGATGTTTGATGGTTACATGTAACTGATGATGTTTGATGGTTACATGTAACTGATGATGTTTCATGGTCACATGTAGCAGATGATGTTTGATGGTTACATGTAGCAGATGATGTTTGATGGTTACATGTAACTGATGATGTTTGATGGTTACATGTAGCAGATGATGTTTGATGGTTACATGTAACTGATGATGTTTGATGGTCACATGTAGCAGATGATGTTTGATGGTTACATGTAACTGTTGATGTTTGATGGTTACATGAAACTGATGATGTTTGATGGTTACATGTAACTGATGATGTTTCATGGTCACATGTAGCAGATGATGTTTGATGGTTACATGTAACTGATGATGTTTCATGGTCACATGTAGCAGATGATGTTTGATGGTTACATGTAACTGATGATGTTTGATGGTTACATGTAACTGATGATATTTCATGGTCACATGTAGCAGATGATGTTTGATGGTTACATGTAACTCATGATGTTTGATGGTTACATGTGACTGATGTTTGATGTGACATGTAACTGATGATGTTTGATGTTACATGTCACTGATGATGTTTGATGTTACATGTCACTGATGTTTGATTGTTACATGTAACTGATGATGTTTGATGTTACATGTCACTGATGTTTGATGTGACATGTAACTGATGATGTTTGATGTTACATGTCACTGATGTTTGATTGTTACATGTAACTGATGATGTTTGATGTTACATGTCACTGATGTTTGATTGTTACATGTAACTGATGATGTTTGATTGTTACATGTGACTGATGATGTTTGATTGTTACATGTAACTGATGATGTTTGATTGTTACATGTGACTGATGATGTTTGATTGTTACATGTAACTGATGATGTTTGATTGTTACATGTGACTGATGATGTTTGATAGTGCTGTGACCTGCTCCCTGCTGGCTGTCAGGGTTGCCCAGGCCACACCTCCTTGTTGTGTCTCCGTTATACCAAATCTTTCTGTTGTGTCTCCGTTACATCATACCTCTCTGCTGTGTCTCCGTTACAACATACCTCTCTGCTGTGTCTCCGTTTCACCAAACCTCTCTGTTGTGTCTGTTACACTAAACCTCTCTGTTGTGTCTCCGTTTCACCAAATCTCTCTGTTGTGTATCCTTTGCAGCAAACTTCTCTGTTGTGTTGTCTGTGTGTGGAATATATTCCTTCAAGTTGTAAATAGTTTTCGTGTTGACTGTTGTTACTAAGTTAACTTGAGTTATCCAGGTAGAATTTGCATTTATCTCCTATGTAAAATTTGTTTTACCTTAGGACATGTTCTCTGATAATCAAACAGGTGCGTATTTCTGTGTGTGATTTTAATCAGAAGCATCACAAAGAGAAACTATTTTTCAATATTGGTATGTTTTATATGGATTTTTTTTTAAGATTTGTTTATTTCCACCTTTATTTACCTTTTATCCGACACAATACCTCCACAATGTGTCATATCACATGTCACATATTAACCTGGGAAGATCCGGGGTAGAATAGGTCTTCAGCAAGCCATGCTTGCCGTAAAAGGCGACTATGCTTGTCATAAGAGGCGACTAACGGGATCTGGTGGTCAGGCTCGCTGATTTGGTTGATGCATGTATCCCAATTGCGTTGATCGATGCTCATGAGGTCAATCACTAGATTGTCTGTTCCAGACTTGATTATTTACAGACGACTGTCATATAGCTGGAATATTGGTGAGTGTGGCATTAAACAACAAATAAATAAACAAACAAACAAACAACATGGTTCATATCCCCTCCCACCGATCCTCATACTTATGTAAATTAGTACACCTCAGTTCCCAAGTGGGATTCTAGGGGAAAACAAGCCTGAAGGTATGTCATGCTCTCCATGAAAGGGATGGAGACAGTAACATGACTGGTCATGTGACCGGATGGGGAGTCAGATTGCAGGAGTAGCCTGTCTGGTCATGTGACAGGATGGGGAGTCAGATCGCAGGAGTAACCTGTCTGGTCATGTGACAGGATGGGGAGTCAGATCGCAGGAGTAACCTGTCTGGTCATGTGACAGGATGGGGAGTCAGATCGCAGGAGTAGCCTGTCTGGTCATGTGGACAAGGAGGTCAACTCCATGTCCAGGGTTTGAATCCCAGCACTTGTCAGGGATGGTTTATTATTGCTATGTATGTTTCTGGAATAATGAAGCAGTTTTCCGAATGAGCTGATAATCGTCAAACATTTCCTGAAAAAGAGACAAATGAAGAAACAAATCCCGTCCAGTTTAAGGCCACAACAATGTATCAGTTTTGATGAAGTACGTGAAGTTCCCACCGTTCAGAAAGGCTGTAGTAGGCACTAGCGATTCAGGAAAGTTCTTTCTTCAAGGATACATATTGTAATGTGATGTATTGATATGAAACTTTATTACCTACGAGGGCAAACTTATCGGGGTCCATAAAACTCATATGTGCCACGAGACAACAGTGTATTGTTTTGGACAGCATTGTTGACGTCATTCGTATCTTATTGTGACGTGAGGTGGGAATGACATCACAATAGAAACGTCGTCATAGCTGAAGATTGTTAACATTGTTCTACAAATTGTGCTTCCACTGGTGTTGTGACTTGCTGTCCTTGTAGGTAAACACTAGAATAGTCTCTGTATGTAGACATCTTCTTCGGTAATATATAGAACATTATATTCGTGTCTGTCTCGCTCGGAAAATACCGGAATTTAGACACTCGTGTAATGAACATAGTATGACATGAACACTAATATGATATCCTCTATAGGCAACATATAAAAGGTGGAGCGGACTCAACATTGGAATATGATTTATGACATACTATTTAAAGTGGTAAAGTTTGCTAACAGTTGTAAGTTATATTGTCCATACAGTGTACAAAGTACACTTTGGGTGTTGTCATTCACTTCAATTATTGAAAACGACTGCTTATCATGACAAATGTCATATTTTTATTTTCATATTGTATTGCGACCAGGTGTATCGTTACCTGCTGTCCAGTTTGACCTTACCTGACATTCCAGTATCATATCTCCTGACCAACCCTAGTGTGAGGGACCCGCATTTATTTGAAAAAAAACCCCAAAACAGACAATTTTTGTATGGTTTGTATATTTATATATCTGTGTGATTTTCTTTTGGACAAACTATTGACATGCACTGGAAGGTGATAGGAAACACATTAATTTGTCTTCTTGTTTCATTTGGGGAGAGTATTTTTCCTTCATGAACATGAACTGATATCTTCATAAAGACATATTATCCCACCGTGTTATACAGCATATTTTCCCCCAGGGTTTAATGACATATTTTCCCCCAGGGTTTAATGACATATTTTCCCCCAGGGTTTAATGACATATTTTCCCCCAGGGTTTAACAACATATTTTTCTGCAATACTTTACAATACTTCTGCAAAATACTTTAGGGTTTGATAGGCAGTGTATCAAATATATTGTAAGATAGAAATTTCATCCATTTTGTTATACATCTCAACTTATCTACTTTTTCCAAGTGAGTTGGCTGACTATAAAAGTCCAGTTTCCATCCTTGCCGAACTTGGCTTGATTGTTAAGCGCCACTAGTGGCTATTACGAGTTATGTCCCTTCTATGCCTCTCCAATGGACCACCTCACATTTCACTTGCATTTGCTTCAAACAAGACGATCTGAACGATAACCAAGATCTATATTGAGAAAAAGGGAATCTTACATTGCGAAGTGCATCAAATCACCAGAGCACCTTGATTAAAAACATGAAAAGATTAAGAAAATATCTGTTGACGATACTACTTTGCATACTTTGCAAATCCTGCAATCGTCTGAAATCTGCATGACAATTTTTGAACCGGATTTCAATTTCATTGCACAATTTTGATTGGACTATGCATAGACTCATTAGTCCAGCCAAAATGTAACTCCATAATACCAGCCTAGATCGGCAAGGGTGGAAACAGGACTTTTAAAGTCAGTTTACTCACTTGCCTCGGGGAGATGTTCCACCCTTGGAATATGTGTATTTTGCCCTGTTCCTTTGTCCTGAGATGTTTGTTGCAACAGTACATGCATGTATATCGCACAGTTCCCAAAAAAGTTATTTTAGTAATCTCATGATACTTTGCTTGTGATGTTTTTGTCTCAATGCACCATGAAAAGATTTATCAGGACCAACACATAGGCTGATATTCAGCCTTCTACTTCTCAGTAGAAATTCCCAAATTTGAATTAAAAATTAACCATTCCATGTAACTGTAGCTGTAGATCTGACAAGGCTTGTGGGGTGATTCATATTTCACTGATAATGGGGATGGGGAATCCACCTATGCACCACTGCACTATTTGTCTTGTTCTGTAGAAAACGTGATGATGTCCTAGAGCTGTTGAGTCATTGCTGTGCATCTTGTATGTTGTAAAATTGCTGGCTTATTAATAATCAGATCATGTATGTATTTACATCTATTTACTGAAGCTGTTAATTCTCTTATATTCCATCATTGTCCTAGTGACTCTATTAATCCACATCTGTCAGTCTAGGAGTTTATTGCATCAGTGTCTGGTGGTGTTGTTTGCTAATGTGAGGTGTCTGATATTCCTGTTTACTTGTGTGCATTCTTTAACAGGTGCATTGCAACAACCTGGTTTTCGTCTTCAGCTCAGGTAGCCATTGTGCTGTGCAGAGTTGCTTCCCTTAGCCATGCCAGAATCTGCTGATCATGGGTTTGAAGCTGTAGAGATCAAAGATTTATATTACCAGAGTTACTTCTGGTTGAAGTATGTGCTGAAAGAACAATGAAATAACAGATGATGGTAGAACATGGCTTTGATAATTGTCATGTCATCCATGAAATATATACAGCTACTGCTGAGAATCGACTGCTCAGTAGGACTTGTGTGCTGGGCCTTGCGTTCTATGTATCTATGTTCTATGTACTATCCACGCTTCCATCCACGCTTCCATCCATGCTTCCTAGTGCCTTCTTTCCTCCCCCACAAGGTTTTTTTGATCCGACGGGAAGTTGGGATCATTGGCATTTTGTGTCAAATTTGAAAAAATATATATCTCGGTTATTTCTTTATTAGGTCATATTTTCAGTTGTACTGAAGACCTGTAAAGAAATGGGTTAGAACTGGTCTTCAGCAACCCATGCTTCACCCTATGCTTGCTGTAAAAGTCGACTATGCTTGCCGTAAAAGTCGACTATGCTTGTCGTAAGAGGCAACAAACTGGATCAGACGTGATTACAGACCGCCTTCATGTAGCTGGATACAATATCCAATCTGGATACATATTATGATGTGGTTTCTTTTCTTAGGTCAAAATGACCTGAAACAATTTTTCATTTGAAATTGCTTTTTAAGACAGTTTACATCTTCCCGAGGCAAGGGCGTTAACTGACTGTAAAAGTCCAGTTTCCACCCTTGCCGAACTAGGCTGGAATTTCCAGGCTCGATCGGAGCACCACCAGTGACTTTTATGAGTTATGTCCCTTCTATGTCCCTCGTCCTGACCAATCAGATTCCATCTCTTATATCACTTGTATTTGCTTCAAACAATATGGCAGCACCAAGTCAAGATGATCTGATTGATAATCAACTGAGTGAGTCAAGACGATCTGATTGATAATCAACTGAGTGAGTATGGTTTTATGCCGCTTTAAGCAATATTCCAGCAATATCACGGCGGGGGACACCAGAAATGAGCTTCACACATTGTACCCATGTCGGGAATCGAACCCGGGTCTTCAGCGTGACGAGCAAACACTTTAACCACTAGCCTATCCTACTGCCCCGATTGATAATCAAAATCTATATTGTAATAAAGCGGGTCTTACCCCGCGAAGTGCATAAAATCACTTGAACACCTTAATTAAAAACACGAAAAGATTTGCAAAATATCTGTTGATGCCCAGATGGTGGTACACATGCTCAGCAAATACTGCAGTCAACTGAAATCTGCACGTTGAAATCCACGTTGTTTACGAACCGGATGTCTAGTTGGTTACGCAATTTTGATTGGACTATGCATAAATTCATAGTCTAGTCAAAATGTAACTCCGAATTCCCAGGAGAGTTCGGCAAGGATGGAAACTGGACTTTTATAGTCAGTTATCTCCCTTGCCTTGGGAAGATGGACAGCCTACGGCCCCACCATGTAATATTCTGGGGGTGGGGTTCCTCTCAATGTCAAATGGATCGTTTACATGATGCTTCTTACTGGATGTTATGTACAACCATCCGGGGCCTATAGCCTGTATTCCCCCTCGGTCGGACCTCACCGATTCTGCAGCACAGGTTCCAGTTGTATGCCGTCATTCCTTCGTCAGCTTTATGTGGAGGAAGGCAGATGATATTTTGATATATATTTATCTATGCAGATTTTGGCTATTTTCCTGTAGATGTCTTATTTGTATATCATGATACTTGTCAACATGTTAATGGTTAATACCTTGTGATATATGTTTGGACGATGTGATATATATATTGTATTCAGGTAAACATCAATGTCTTGCTTGATTTAGTTGCTTGACATATACGCATGATCAATATATACGTATACGTATAGATGCACACACACACACACACACACACACACACACACACACTTTCACTGGAGACAACTATATTTTTTTTTAAGTTTAATGTTGCATTCAGGAGGTCCAGTGCTCTACAAGTTATGAATGTGTTGTATGTAGTGCATTACCTATCACATCTGTCTTTCTGAACGTCCGACAGCAAATTGCTGGTGTGCTCCATCCAGTTCCTCGTTTGTGTTCATTTGGGGCCTTGGGTTCCAAGTAAGAAATGCTGAGAATGGTCAACTGTGCAGAATCAATGAATTTAGTAGAGTTGTGAGATTCTGCTATGATGGTCTAGTCGTTGCTGCTCTATAGCATAGTTTCTGCTGCTACAGTCAAGCTATAACCAAAACAAAGAAACCACTAATTTTATTTTGTTAACAGAAGTATGTTTTTAGCATGTACACAGCAAATGTCAGTTCGTTTTAAGCGTGTTTGTCATGAACATAGTTTACTGTATGTGGGTTTGATGGAGATGGCGGAGGGAGGGAGGGTAGCACTGCCTCACCAGTAGTACCAAATTTTCTTGAGTATATTTCACACTTTTTTTCCAACAACACAGCTGTGTAGAAGGGTGTGTGCATTATACACGAAATAATGAATAATAAACACAAGGTAATCTTAATCCCTAGATGTAAAACAATGCCTAGCAGAACAAAAAATACAATTTAAACGGTAAATAAATATATCTGGTGATTTTTTATCTCAAATTTCAAATTTGTACTGACCAAGTTTCTCCTTTACCGGGGTCGCTGAAGGGGTAGATCTACGGTGTAATTTTTTTCTGCGCTTGACATTCAAATTTTTTCTCTCCAAAATACTGAATCTGCTAGAGGAGGGTGCACATTATACATGGGTGTGTACTATACTCAAGAAAATACGGTATTCACTCTGTTTTTTTTCATGCATTCCTTCATTTCTTAAAATCGTGTTTTATTCAGTCATTCTTCATTATCCTAGTTGGTTAGTCATATGTTTTGTGTGTATTTTATATATTATGTATGTAAAGAGAATCATGGTCAATTTTTGGCTGAATTACCAGGCTGTAAAGTCATTTTGGGAATCTTGTATTACTGGCAGCAGTGGTGTCAATTTATTGCCTTGTTTTGTGATCATCTTCATTCATCCAGGGTATTTTATTTCCATTCTATTGTCATATATACCCTGGACCTGTTCTGAGTTATTCTGATTAATTTATAACCAAAAAGAACCCTTAGCACTTATCTATGATCTTAGCCCAGGAAATCTGTAAAGTCCTGGGTTTGTCCTTTTCATTGTTTTCTGAAAGAGAGTGAATGATCCACGTCGGGTGTTATCCTCCTGACAGTTGTTTTGTTACGTATGACATCTTTGTTGATACAAAGTTATTGTTTATTCAGTTTTAAACTTTTTGTTTGTGATTAATTTTGTTTGTCCTTGGGAATATTAGGTTTTTCTTTGCTGAGTTTGTGTCCTGTCGGAACAGCTGTCTTTATGCAGCTTCACATTTCCAGATTATATGATGATGATGATGATGATGATGATGATATATTGATGTATGTATGATGATAATTGTGCATACATATCTGTTCGCCTGTGTGTTCCTATGTCACCACCTATCTGCTTGTATAAACTGTATCTAGTCAGCTGTCTCAGTTGCAATAAATTATTTTTTAGCAAATCCATTTGCCACGCAGTCTGCACCTCATGATGTTGGACGAACTGGATGATGCTGGGCTCCATAGTAGGATTATTTACTACAAACAACACACAGGCTCTGTGAATACGACACACATGCTCTGTGAATACGACACATGCTCTGTGAATACGACACACATGCTCCCTGCATACGACACACATGCTCCCTGCATACGACACACAGGTTCTGTGAATATGACTCACATGCTCCCTGCACACAACACACATGCTCCCTGCATATGACACACATGCTCTGTGAATACGACACATAGGCTCCCTGCACACAACACACAGGCTCTGTGTATACGACACATAGGCTCCCTGCACACAACACACAGGCTCTGTGAATATGACACATAGGCTCCCTGCACACAACACACAGGCTCTGTGTATACGACACACAGGCTTCCTGCACACAACACACAGGCTCTGTGAATACGACACATAGGCTCCCTGCACACAACACACAGGTTCTGTGTATACGACACATAGGCTCCCTGCACACAACACACAGGCTCTGTGAATACGACACATAGGCTCCCTGCACACAACACACAGGCTCTGTGTATATGACACATAGGCTCCCTGCACACAACACACAGGTTCTGTGTATACGACACATAGGCTCCCTGCACACAACACACAGGCTCTGTGAATACGACACATAGGCTCCCTGCACACAACACACAGGCTCTGTGTATACGACACATAGGCTCCCTGCACACAACACACAGGCTCTGTGAATACGACACACAGGCTTCGCGGACAAAGCACACAGGCTCTGTGAATACGACACGCATGCTCCGTGGACAAAAGACAAAGGCTCTGTGAATATGACACACTGGCTCTGTGGACACAACCCACAGACTCTGTGAATACGACACACAGGCTCCCCGGACAAAACACACAGGCTCTGTCAAAACGACTCTGTGAACACAAGACAGCAACACAGTGTAAGCTTGGTGTAAGAGGAAAGCTGATGCAGATCCTAAGACTTGAATCTGGAGTAAACTACGGCTATAAGGAACTCAAATGGACCACTAATTTCAGTTAATAAATAACCCTAGTTTGTTATAAACAACAAATGGGCAGGGCCAAAAAATAGGTTTGTTATATCCGTCAGTTCCTTATAAGTGTGTTCGTTACAAACATTGAAACATACTTTGAATTTAATATAATGCCCAGAACCTGGCAGCTCTGCTTTTACATGCGTTTATCCTCCATTGTGATGTCATTGGTTACCATGACCACAGGGAAACAAGTCTTGTCTCTGCCACAGAAGCAGGTGAGATGTACATTTTACACACGACACTAGTTATTACTGTTACTGAATATAAATATAAAACAAAAACACACATTGAAAGTTTTAAACTATTTATCAACTGGTGTTGATATATTTGAAATCAAAAGACACGAGCGTGAGATTCTAGATGTATATTGTAATTCATTATTTTCTTAGAACATATCTAATGACAAAGTCTTGTCCAAAATTCAATTGACAAGTAAAACACTGGTAAGAGGAATTTAATATTGTTTTGATGTGCAAGGTGAGAGTTTGGTTAACGCAGTATTATGGAGCCATTATTTCACTGAACTGTTGATGACAAACCCACAATCGCAGAGGATTTGAACCCAGAATCACAGGAATCTGGCAAACAAACTGCCTTGACAAGGGTTCCACCTACGACAGAAGCCAAAGGGGCTCATTAGGAAAGAAATGTTATCACTCAATTCTCAAACTTTCTGATTATCAATTACGTTGTCAAAAAAAACAAATATTAACAAGTATTTGTCACAGAGTGACGAAATATCCCCCGCCATATACACCATAGTACCAAATATGAAGACAATCCAGCGATTAGTTCTTGAGATATTGTGGCAACACCGTTTTCCAACTCCAAAAACAGATTTGCCTGCTGTGACCTTGAAAATGGGGTCAAGGTCACCAAATCTGACAGGTGTATGCGATGTCTGTATACACACTATAGTTCCAAATATGAAGACAATCCAGCGATTAGTTCTTGAGATATCGCGGCAACACCGTTTTCTAACTCCAAAAGCAGATTTGCCTGCTGTGACCTTGAAAATGGGGTCAAGGTCACCAAAACCGACTGGTGTCTGCGGTGTCTGTATATACACCATAGTTCCAAATATGAAGATAATCGAGAGGTTTAGTTCTTGAGATATCGCGGCAACACCGTTTTCCAACTCCAAAAGCAGATTTGCCTGCTGTGACCTTGAAAATGGGATCAAGGTCACCAAAACCGACTGGTGTCTGCGGAGTCTGTATATACACTATAGTTCCAAATATGAAGACAATCCAGTGTTTAGTTCTTGAGATATCGCGGCAACACCGTTTTCCAACTCTAAAAGCAGATTTGTCTGCTGTGACCTTGAAAATGGGATCAAGGTCACCAAAACCGACTGGTGTCTGCGGAGTCTGTATATACACCATAGTTCCAAATATGAAGACAATCCAGTGTTTAGTTCTTGAGATATCGCGGCAACAAACAGGTGGGACGTACGTACGGACGGACGGACGTACGGACGGTCGTGAATACTATATCCCCCGGTTCGCGCTTTCGCGCGGCGGGGGATAATAAGCTGGAAGAATAAGGATGCTGTTTGGTCCTTGAAGTTGTCAGTTTGTTTGTTTGTCAATCCAAGTGTCTCAGCTGAAGAGTAGAACCGTAAAGATGCAGGGAATAAAAGGTCTTCAGCAACCCATGCTTGCCGTGAAAGGCGACTGCTTGTCGTAAAAGGTGACTTACGGGATCAGGTGGTCAGGCTGGGTGACTTGGTTGATGCATGTCATCGTATCCCAATTGCGTGGATCGATGCTCATGAGGTCAATCACTGGATTGTCTGGTCCAGACTTGATTATTTACAGACCACCGTCATATAGCTGGAATATTGCTGAGTGCGGTGTTAAGCAAACAAACAAACAGTTGAAGAGTATGCTGAGGAAATGACAGACCAACTTTGGTTATGGACATATTTTATTGAGGAGTGGACAGATCAGAATCTACTACATCTGCAGACATCGTAAGGCAGTATGGTAATGGAGTCATGTGTTGCTGGAAGACGATCCTTCGTTGAGGTAATGCTAGTATCACCATGGAAACATCACACTGGGGGTCTTCAGAAGGAGGGACAGGATTGCAAAGACCGAAGTAGGAGGACGTTCAGTCTTAAGAAATGATAAACTATGATCTGTTGCGAGTCATTTGGTCACAAATTCACTAACTACACAGTTCTTATATGAATTCTTCAGAAACCAAGACAACAAGTTTCTATTGGTAGATAAGAGGGGACGTCACTTCAGCAAAATTAAACATTAAGGGCAGTTTGAAAATACAAAGTCTTGACATACAGGGGTGACCACCCAGCGCTGATGTTCACAGGGCTCAGCACACAGTCTCATCTGACAAACATTAGCTACGATTCACTACGTCCACAGTAGCTGAGGATGAACAGTTGTCTCCCCTACTGGAATGTTGAGCTCCACACAACAGTTGCCTCCCCTACTGGAATGTTGAGCTCCACACACTGCACAGCGGAGAGGTTGGAATGTATCAGAGTTTGGAGTATCCTACACAATATCTATGACAGCTTCAATGTTAGGCTATGTAACAAAATAGAAATAAATAGGACTACATGGAAAACCTTTGCACGCCAGATTTCATGATTTTCATGTTGATCTGTGACTTTATGTTTATCTTGCACACCTTGAGGGGTCCTAGATGTTAGTAATAGTCATAAACTACAGAATTATGTAAGTAAAAGCAATTAAATAATATATTTATATATTTATATATGTAGAATATATACAATTAGTCAAAATATACTTTGTTCAAAGACTAAAATGGCCATGGATAACTTCCCTCATTACCAGGGCAAAAGAACATAAAATCAATCTGATGTTTCCAAGTTGTAAATATGGAATTTCAGAAGACAAAAAGTGATTTTTCAAAATGAGGATGACATCTTGCTAGTTCCATTCATACTAAATCTAAAATTTCAAATTAATATCTATTTGTTATATTCGTCACTATAGTATGTAAACAAAGTACATCCATCTATCTACAATACTGGTACAAAACACAAAAAATAAAAGTTGGATGGAGGGAATACCTATGTAAAACTAGGAGACCATTGGACGGATTTCATGCCGAGGTTTTCAATACTATACAAGTACAGCTTCTAGAGCCAGTAGGGCACAGCTGCAACAAGTGTCAACACAAGCAGGAATAAATATAGCACTCATAATAAACAAGAGGGACCTAAATTCAAATTATGTACAGCAAAACTGTCAATTTTCATAATGGGGTATTTAAAAGTTGAAGTCAGAATCGCAACAACTGTGCCCAGGTTTTTAAACCACTGCACTACAAAGCCATCTTAACAGTTGCAAGTCCATGCTGTGATCATTTCTTGTGTTACTTGTGTATCAACATAAAAAAGAAGCATGGATAAAAAAAACACCAACATTGTTTAATAAAGAGACAAAAATTTCTTCAAGATGTTAATAAATAAAATTATCTTTGGAAAAATGCAAGTGTTTGAAATGTTCTTTTCTTGGCATAGCTTCATAAATTATCTCCTGGGCCCACTTGCACAAAAGGATCTTAGCACTAAGATGATCGTAACTCCCATATTTTAGCATAGGCTTGCGGTAGTCGTAGCGCTATGATCGCTTTGTGCAAGTGGGCCCTGGTGCATTATTTCCTTCCCTTGCTATGTCATGTTGACCTGGGTGTTGCAGGGAGTTGAGATTGCTTTGTGGCAGTGGTTGAGAAGTGGATAGGTAGCCATCAAGTGGCAGTGACAAGCTACATTATAGCCCTACAGCCACCACATGCTAGACTCATGTAGACACATCGCCCTGCACGACGTCTGGCTCCGAGGAGAAACACGTATCACAGTCCAGCTTTTTAAATACAACAGACATACTGAGAGTTACACACTATATACCTTCGTTTGACCTACTACAATCAACAGTATAACCTTTTGTAGCTCTAAAACTTAAAGCAAATGACGTCCCTTGCAAATATAAATGTTGGACAAGGTATAACTTGAGTGTGGTACACTGCATACGTTCGACTATGAAAACCTTGTCTAAAATGTACATTTAACCTTGTAAGGGACACAGCAGTTAACTGAATCTTCAATGCTGTTTTATTATCACAGATGACGTTTGTCCAGTTTGCATTGGAATAGCAATTCCCATTATCCATGATGACAAACCATGACATACAGGGTCAACCTTGGCTACATATTAACAATGCTCCTTAAATAAATAATATCTCAAGTGACAGGATGTGGCCATGAGTTGTTTCCCTTGGTCGACTCTTCGCTACAGAAGGTTGGAATGTTTGGCAGTGGTCTTCCCCTGCAAGTCCAATGTCGATATTTGATCACATGGGACTGGCACAGAATTTAAACTCAACTTCCATCATAATCTTAAGGCTTAGGAAGAGGTGTGGTAGACTGGATTGTCATCAGTATCTTATCTTTGACGAAATGCATCACCCGTTCAGTATGATACAAGGCAAATACAAAGACTTCAATAAATGGAATACTTAGATGTCAAGCTAGGGCTGAGATTTAGCTTTCCTATCAGACAAATGTCTGACGGAGAGAGATTTAGGCGCAATTTGTGTATCCGAGTAATCCTGTGCCTGCTGTCATTTTAAACATTCCCTGGAAATCAGGATCCGATGTCGGAGTGTTTATAGGACATCGTGACCGTAGCTTTTTGGTGTAGTGTCCAGAAGATCGTCATCCTGTCCTATGTAGCTTGTACGTTCTGGCGACCGACGGCGTCCGGAGGAGCTCAACATGGAAGTATCTGGACTGCGATATCTGGAACACGAACAGATTATGGCTTCACAGATCAGAACAGTTTTCAAAAAAGAAATGACAACCATATTTCTTTCAGTAGGATGTGCACTGTATACTCAAAAAGCAACATTGTCCTTGCACTGCGCATGCATGCATGTACAGACAAACACGCACACAGACAGACAGACAGACAGACAGAACAAATGCCTTGTGACCGAAACCTACCTGCTAGGACTAGGTGATCTTGACCTTGAGCGTGACCTTGCCCTTCCCGGGCTATATGACCTTGACACCCGAGTGAGTGAGGATGAATACTCTGATATCATAACTGGCGGGTTGAGCCCATGTCTCCTCATCTCCTGCACGGCCCTCTCCCTGGATACAGATCAACATCATTCAGTTCAGTTAGTTAGGATTGAGATCAGGGCTAGAATAGGTAGGTCTCCAGCAACCTATGCTTCCCGTAAATGGCAACTATGCTTGTCATAGGAGGCGACTAACGGGATCGGGTGGTCAGGCTCGCTGACTTGATTGATGCAGGTCATTGATCCCAATTGCATGGATCGATGCTCATGATATCATTCACTGGATTGTCTGGTCCAGACTCGATTATTTACAGACCGCCATCATCTAGCTGTTATATTGCTGAGTGCAGCGTAAAACACCAAAACCAACCAACCAAGTTAGGATTGTGTTTGTTTGCATGTTGTGTTATCAGCAATACACCAGCTACAACATGGAGGCCTGTAATTAACCAGAATGAAATACAATCAAGTCACCGAACTTGACTAAGCTCTATTAGATACTGGGTTTCTAATACTGTGATACATTATTAACTAATAATGACCGTTTAATGCAAATGTACCCATTGTATGACTAGAATTTGGGATTCGTACCCATTGCATGAAGAGAATTTGGGATTCGGTAAGTTAGTGAGTTGACACTGCCAGCATTAAACAGAAGAGACACTGGGTCAGTGGCTTGCATGAAATTGATAGACACTGGGGCTTCTGTAAGATGAAATACGGTAATATGATATGGACCATTGAGCATAATTGTGGTGAATGTTTTGTCTGAACACATGACCAGTTGGTCGTGCTGATCCACTGAGATCATCAGGTAGCCTGGATCCAGCTAGGACTTACCTCTCGAACCGCTCCCCTGTCAGCTGTCTGCGGAGTCTCTCCACGTCTCCCTCCAGCTCCACATTCCTGGTCCGCAGTGACGCAATCTCACGACTCTGACTTTGGCTGCAGGCAAATTAGGATTGATCAGTACATTGAAATAACAAGTGAAAAGTAAGGGAGGGACAAAAAGGTGTGATGAAGTTTTAATTCTAAATGCAAAGTTGTAAAGGTAAAGCTTAACAAGTTTTCCAATTAACATATTTTTACATATAATGTGTCATCTATCTTTATCAATGTATTTACAATATCCAATAATATCCATAAAATCACAAAAACAATCACTAGTCTTTTCACTTTCTACCTAGGCCCTGTTGGACAAAAGCGACGGGCGGTTGGGTAGCCTTGTGGTTAGAGCTTTCGCTCGTCACACTGAAGACCTGGGTTCGATTCCCGACATGGGTACAATGTGTGAAGTCCATTTCTGGTGTCCTCCGCCGTGATATTGCTGAAAGCTGTGTAAACTCACTTAGTCACTCCACAAAGCGATTGTAGTACTAAGTAACTCCCATACCTGAACTTAGACTCACAACAATCGTAGCGCTTAGACCGCTTTGTGGGATAGGGCCTCGGTCAATACTCTTTATATCAATACTGGGAGCCAGTATTGAAGCCTACACATGACTTCACTCACATTTTGCTCTCATTGAGTGACAGCCTGTCCTTGAGCATCTGGACTTCCGCGTTCCTCTCCTGGCTGGTGAGCTGGAACTGGAACTCCTTCTCTCGGTTGTTCTGCAGGAGACTCTCCAGGTTCTTGGCGGTGGTGCGCTCCGATGACACTTGGCCCTTCAGGAGGTCGCCCTCCTGGCGCAGGTCCTCGATGACACTCGCGAGCTACAGACAAAGACAAGCAGGTCAGGAGTAGAAGCCAACACACATTCTACTTACTACGTGTGTATGGTGTCGCATGTCTCGGAGGGTGAGTCTTGGGCAGGAGGATGTTTTAGCATTCAACAAAGGTAGTTTTGAACAACCCAGAATATCAATACAGAGATCTGCCCTAGGGAGGGATGCTGAAGTGATGAGTAATTGTGAAGAAACAGTCAGCTGCAGGGATGACGACTGTAAACTAGGAGAGGTGTACGGGATCAGATGGTTGAGACAGTCATGAGACAGTCAAGAGAGCTCGATTTAGCTGTATAAAACATGTACCTTAGCGACCTATTATTGAAAATGCAACCTAATATTTATATCTACAAGCACAAAGTGCATGTCCCAAAACATCAAATTTGTGTTTGTCTAACCCTTACTTGTCCACACAACATCAATCTAAGTGTCTCTAAGTTATCTCACTTATCCCTGTGTTGTGTCAGTTTCATGATATATAAGTCATCGTAGATCTGTTATTTTAATTATTCAGACGAGTTTATGCATCTGTGTTTCAACATTGATACATTTAGGGGACCAGGGTGCAACCTGTTTTAGTCTGGTGCAACTAGTTTTTTTCTGGTGCAGGTCAAATCAGGTTCTTTAATCGAACCCTGCTCAGTAGTCTAGACCGTGTTAAGCTGGAAGCCCACTATCCAGCCAATTACTCTACATGTATACAGAGAACATGTATACAGAGAATGATGACTTCATAATCCAGTTATTCCATACTGTCAACCTGTTCACAGTGTTGCCCTGTATCTGTACAAGCCTGTGCCTACCTGCTCCTTGTCCAGGGAGGAAGAGGTGAGCTGCCTCTGCAGGGTCTCCTTGACGCCCTCCAGGCGGCTGCACATCTCGCGGACAGCGGTCAGGTCGGCCAGCAGGTTCTGCTTGTCCTCCTCGGTCTGTCGCAGGCTCTCCTCCAGCGTGGCCACCGACCGGGTCAGGTTCGACAGCTGGATCTCGTACGACTGCTGGGCTGACAGATGCTGCGGAAACAGAAACAATACTCATACCTCGCTGAACACATTCCAGAGTCACAAAAATGGTAAACTGTTCACCAAACACAATTAAGAAATGGTTCAATATTTTCTGCATTGACTGGTTCTGTGAAGACATGATGCACTGCTAACACTGTTGTGAATAAAGCATTCAGCAATATTCCATCTATATATCAACCCGTAAATAATCAAATCTGGACCAGACAATCTGGTGATTGATATTATCAGCAACTCTTCCCACCATCAGGCACAATGACATCAGATGTACCAAGTCGCAGAGTCTGACCACCACATCTTTTCATCATCTTTCAAGTCGCCCTATGACAAGCACAGATTTCTGGGGACCAATTCTAACCCAGAATCACCACAGGGGAGCAATGTTGTGAGAAAGTCGAAACAAAACTTGCTGCCATTTGTGAGTGAGGAACTGAAATGGTTTTGCGTTGGGATAGACACAGTACTGCAGCCTTTTTGGGGGGGGGGGTTTGGGGATTCATGGCATGTCACTGCAAGGATAGCCTTCACACGCTGAACAAATGCTGTGAATGGAACCAGGGGTCTAGCATGATCACATCACTGTAACCAGCTTATTACTACTGGAGGTGAAGTATTTGTTTATTTGTTGTTGAACCCCACACTCAGCAATATTCCAACTCTATGACATCGGTCTGTAAATAATCAAGTCTGGACCACATCATGAGCATCGATCTACGCACCTTGGGATATGATGACATGCATCAACCCTCCGATCCTGTTAGTCGCCTCTTACGACAAGCATAGGATGCTGAAGACCTAGTCTAAGCCAGATCTTCACAGGTGAAAAAGAAGAGTATGAAAGTTCAAATGCTGTAAAGTGCTGTCCTACCTCCTGCACCTCCCTCTCCAAGTTGTCGGTCTTGTCGCGGTAGCGCCGCAGCTCCGAGTCCTTCGTCATGAGCTCCAGTCGCAGGTTGGATCCCTCGCTCTCCAGCTGGTGGCTGGTGGTCTGGTACTGCTCTGCCTCCATCGACAGTCGGCGGTACTGCTCCAGGATGTCTGACCGCTCCTGCTCCTGAGGACACACAACAGTGGGAGTCAGTATGTGAGTCAGTCCGACAGTGAGTAAGTGAGTTAGTCAGTAAGCAAGTCATTACGTAAGTCAGTATGCAAGTCATTACCGTATATCGCTGTGTATAAGGCGAGTTTTTCGTACCTAAAATGAGGGGGCTAAGAAGAGGGGTCGTCTTATACACGGAGTCGAAGATCTCACATTTTTTTCCACTGGTGAATGTCAACCGGCATCTGATAGCCAGCCCAGCATTTGACAATAAAACTTCGCATTTCGTCCTAAATAACTGTTCCAATAACTATTTCCATACATAAACATGATTTGTATCTCTTTTCCTTGAATAAAGTTTAATGATTTCTGCAAATAAAGTTGAAATGACCCTCGCCTCGATGCAGATTGTCAAACCACCTGACACGGTAAAACAATCAACATCCGTGAGTAGAGAGCAGGAAGTACCGGTAAGCATTTGCATATTGCACATGTGACCTAACATGTGATAACCGGTGAAGTTGAAATCAATTCAAATGAATTTTATTTTACGGGCACCAATTTGGTGTTGTACCGTGTAAACACAAAATGGCGAAGTGTGCTGGAGTTACACACGCGACCAATCATTGTAGAAAAATACAATGCAAGATAAACATATTTTTATTGCATATATAAGGTTTGTGTGCGCACTTGTGATGTGCTTCATTCCAGGTCGCCTTATACAAGGTGTATAGGATTTTGGGTTGATTTTGAAGGCGTGTACAGGGGGGTCGTCTTATACGTGGGGTCGCCTTATACACAGCGATATACGGTATAAAAGTCAGTATGCAAGGAATTATGTGAGTCAGCATATGAGTCATTACGTAAGTCATGTGAGTCAGTATGGGAGTCATTATGTAAGTCATGTGAGTCAACATGCGAGTCATTATGTAAGTCATTATGCGAGTCAACATGTGAGTCATTATGTAAGTCAGCATGTGAATCATTACATAAGTCCGTATGTGAGTCATTATGTGAGTCATTACGTAAGTCATTATGTGAGTCAACATGTGAGTCATTACGTAAGTCAGTATGCGAGTCAGTATGTGAAACAGTCTGTGAGTCAGCATGTATTTGGCAATATTGACACATTTCAAGTTTTCTGTTGTGGATATGAAGCATCTTGAAGCCAGTTTCAATTCTTTTTCAATGTTCCATTATTTGTTTCTGATCCATACGTGCTGTGAAACTATTACTGTCTCTACCTTCCTCAAACTCTTCTTCCCTTAGGATCATTCTCTGTAGTCACTTTCAAACATAAAGAACTCGTTTAGAATTGTTATCGATGTCTTTTCTCTGCAAGCAACACAAGATTACAGGAAACAATATCCCAGAGTGACTTGTCCTACCTTGGATGAGAGGACATCCTCGGTGCGCTTGACCTCGATGATGTACGCCTGGACCTGGACCTTCAGCTGCTCACGCTCTTCCAGGGCATCCTGCAGCTCCTGGTTCAGCTTCTGTAATGTAAGGGTGACCTCGGTAATGTGGGAGGACCTCGGTAATGTGGGGGTGACCTCGGTAATGTGGGAGGACCTCGGTAATGTGGGGGTGACCTCGGTAATGTGGGAGGACCTCGGTAATGTGGGGGTGACCTCGGTAATGTAGGGGGGACCTCGGTAATGTGGGAGGACCTCGGTAATGTGGGGGTGACCTCGGTAATGTAGGGGGGACCTCGGTAATGTGGGAGGACCTCGGTAAAGTAGGGGGGACCTCGGTAATGTAGGAGGACCTCGGTAATGTAGGGGTGACCTAGATAATGTAGAGGTGACCTCGGTAAAGTTGGGGTGACCTCGGTAATGTGGGAGGACCTCGGTAATGTAGGGGGGACCTCGGTAATGTGGGGTTGACCTCGGTAATGTAGGGGTGACCTAGGTAAAGTAGGGGGGACCTCGGTAATGCTGGAGGACCTCGGTAATGTAGGGGGGACCTCGGTAATGTGGGAGGACCTCGATAATGTGGGAGTGGGTGTGAGGGGGAGGAGAGAGATGAAAGTGAGTGAGTGAGTGAGTATGGTTTTACGCAGCTTTTAGCAATATTCCAGCAATATCACGGCGGGAGACACCAGAAATGTAATATGGGGGGAACCTCAGTAATGTATGGGGACCTCAGTAATGCATGGGACCTCAGTAATGTATGGGGGACATCTACATTGGAATCTAACTATTCCTGTTACAAACTAACACTTCCCAATTGATGTTATAAGGAATTATCCAATTCTGACAATTATAACTGTAAGACACTACAGCTGTTCTTGCCTGATTCTCCTTGGTCATGACAGCGAGGTCATCCTGGAGCCGCCTGTTCTCTCTCAGGGCAATGTCCTTGTTGCGGCTGGTCTCGGTGAGATCCTCGCCAGTGGACTCCAGCTGACGTCTCATACTCTTGAGCTCCCGGTCCTTTAGGTTCAGGTTCTCATTGGCGTGTCTGGAGGAGAGAAGAAGGAATAGCTCAACACTTGTAGTAGGAGTGCCTACATGGTGCAGATCTAAAGCTTAAGGCATGGTAAGAGGGGGGGAAGAAGGAATAGCTCAACACTGGTAGCAGTAGTGTCTACATATTTCAGATCTAAAGCTTAAGGCATGGTAAGAGGGGGAAGAAGGAATAGCTCAACACTAGTAGCAGGAGTGCCTACATGGTGCAGATCAAAAGCTTAAGGCATGGTAAGAGGGGGGAAGAAGGAATAGCTCAACACTGGTAGCAGTAGTGTCTACATATTTCAGATCTAAAGCTTAAGGCATGGTAAGAGGGGGGAAGAAGGAATAGCTCAACACTAGTAGCAGGAGTGCCTACATGGTGCAGATCAAAAGCTTAAGGCATGGTAAGAGGGGGGGGAGAGAAGGAATAGCTCAACACTGGTAGCAGTAGTGTCTACATAGTGCAGATCTAAAGCTTAAGGCATGGTTAAGGGGGAAAGACAGTATCGTCAACCAAACTGATGACAACTCAAAAAGTTAGGAGAATATAGCTTTGTGGAAACATATCTGATAAATTACTGCATATAGTCACCAACATGAACCTATATCACACATATGCAATATGGTCCTAAGGAAAACAACAGCACATCACAAGGGAACAGATACTGTGACAATACTAGATATTGATATCAGAGGCACAACACTATTCCAGTAAACTCACCCAAGTTGAGCCTCGAGCTCCGACACCCGAATCTTGAGGTCACTGATAAACCTCTCCTGCAACACAAACGTCAAATAAGCATGAATAAAACAAACCATATTTATATTTACACAGGTTTCTACCATTAAAAAATAGACACAGAAATATTACCCAAATCTGGGCATAATTGCATTCTATTTTATTTTGATGATCATTTAATTAGCTATATTCAAATGATTATCCAATATATTGCAGTATTCAGAGAGCTAATTACCACAAATAGCTGTCTGAAATACTGCAGTTTAGTGAGTGAGTGAGTGAGTGAGTATGGTTTTACACCACATTTTGCACTATTCTAGCAATATCATGGCAGGGGACACCAGAAATAGCTTCACACACTATAACCATGCGGGGAATCGAACCCAGGCTTCGGAGTGACGAGCAAATAGCCTACCCCACCACCCGTGCTGCAGTTTAAAATTTTTCCTTATAGCACACTTACCCTGTCATGGAGTTCATTATTGAGCTGTGCTTGCTTCTCCGTTTTCTCATCAACAGTGAGCTGTAGGGAGTCCTTCTCACGGTCCATGGCATTAATGGTGTTGCGGAGCTGATTGCCGTCGTCTCGGGCAATTTGCAGAGCTCTGGACAACTCGGCCAGCCGCTCCTCAAGAGTTACTGATCTTTCCTCCTGAGATTGCAGTTCTCCCTCGCGGCGAGACAGACGTCTCTGGGTCTCCTCCAGAGATTTCTCCGACTCCTCCGCCAACATTCTGCCACACATCATAGTACATACAGACATACTTTCAGTCGGTCATCAGATGAACACAAAATGAACCTAAATTTGACTCCCTGAAACTACTGCTCCATTTCTTTTTCAAAGGTTAGAGAATAACTGACATAAAAATATGAGTGAGTGAGTGAGTGAGTGAGTGAGTGAGTGAGTGAGTGAGTGAGTGAGTATGGTTTTACGCCGCTTTTAGCAATATTCCAGCAATATCACGGCGGGGGATACCACAAATGGGCTTCACACATTGTACCCATGTCGGGAATCGAACCGGGGCCTCGGCGTGACGAGCGAACGCTTTAACCACAAGGCTACCCAACCACCTCCATGAAAATATGAAAAATTAGCAGAATTTGATGTCAGCTATTTAACATTCCTAACTGTGTCCTTGAATTATAAAGAGCCTAATCATATTTTACGGTTTTTTACATCATCAGAGCATCCTCCTCCCTGATACTGGAGTCATTGAATGACAGGTGCTGTTGTGTCAGGGGTAAAGCACGGCACAGAGTGGGGTACTTACTTCATCTGGCTGGCGGTCGACCTGACCTTGGAAGCATCGTCTGTGACCTCTGTCAGCCTGAAGGCCATGTCCTTGATCTGTTCCTCTAGAGTTTTGATTTCGTCCTTGAGAACATTCACCCGTACTATGAATTCATTCCGCTCAGCTTCCACCTACACAAACAGAAGAGGTCAGTGATGTAACATAACTTCCACTGTTACAAACAGAAGAAGGTCAGTGATCCACAGCTTCAGTGACAGGAACATTGATACAGCTTGAATATATGAGGCATTCAATTTACCCAATAAGATCATTTGCAAACTCTGTGCGATCACAATCTAGATGTATCTAGAAATTATCAAAACTGGTTACCACTTTGAACTGTAGTGAGTGAGTGAGTGAGTGAGTGAGTGAGTGAGTGAGTGAGTGAGTGAGTGAGTGAGTGAGTGAGTGAGTGAGTGAGTGAGTGAGTGAGTGAGTGAGTGAGTGAGTTTGGTTTTACGCCGCTTTCAGCAATATTACAGCAATATCACGGTGGGTGACACCAGAAATGGGCTTCACACATTGTACCCATGTCGGGAATAGAACCCGGGTCCTCATCATGACGAGCTAACACTTTAACCTCAAGGCTACCCGACCGCCCCTCTTTGAACTGTAGTATAGTTTCAAACAGATCTGTGTTGTACTTACTGTATGTAGTGTATTTTCTAAGTCCTCCACCCTCTGCTCCAGGCGAGCTCGGTCAGAGAGAGATGTCTCGGTAGCGATCTGTTGTACAAAGAGAGAAAACCATTTACACAATTTTCCACTGTTATTCCTAGGAATATTTTCTCCATTAATAAGAAAGGTTATTGAAATAATCATTAGGCTAGAAATCATTGATACTTGATGATAATCAAACATTGTCTTAAATGTCAAACGTTTCAAATTCAATCTATTTTTTAACTTTTCTATGTCAACGATCAACAATAACTGTCATAAATATGCTATTTTTCGGTCGGCTCAACATGGAAGGAAAGTGATGCAGGTCGAGTAGTGTAGAAAGGAAAGGCAACTCAAGGTTACTACAGTTCTTGATTACCTTGAGGCGTTCTCGTAGACTGTCTCGTTCCGTGGTGAGGCGGCGGAGGTCGGCGATGACGTCGTCCCGCTCATTCTCCGCCCGTCGGAGGAGGGCCTGAGCTGCAAGAGAGGGTTTGGGGGACTTGGGAGAGATGACCAGCTCCCTCCTGAGTCGCATCAGCTCATCGCGTGTCTCCTCGTACATGCTGTTCAGCTTGTCACGCTCGGAGGTCAGCACCTTCACGTTGGCCTGGATCTGTCAACAAATATAACATTGCTGCTTTTTCAAAACTAATCAAGAGGTTTTGTGAAAAATGAAGTCCAGACATCACAAGGAGGGAACCAAATATGGGCATCACATATTGTAGCCCTGCAGTAACTGGCATCCGGCATCACAGGGAAAACCACAAGGCTACCCCATAGGCAAATCAAGTAACCATGTTTGATGCAGTATACAACAGATCCATGAAGATCCTGGTAGAGAATAGATCTTCAGCAACCCATGCTTTCATAACAGGCGACTAACGGGATCGTTTTTTCAGGCTTGATGCCTTGATCGATGTATGTCAATGTATCCCAATTGCATAGATCGATGCTCATGATGTCAATCACTGGATTGTCTGGTCCAGACTTGATTATTTGCAGACCGCCGTCATCTAGCTGGAGTATTGCCGAGTGCAGCATTAAACAACAATCAAACAGCTTACAACAAATCTGAGATGTCTGATACCACTTACATTTCTCATACATTCTCAGCATTTATAAAGTCTAACATGATTATAAACATGATAAATGGCCAATTCATTTCACTGTTTCTTTAGACATTCGTTCCTCAAATTCAAATGCTAAAACTATTCAAGTGTCTAGCTATGTCCCACCTCTGCCATGTGCCTCTCAAACTTGTCGAGGAGTCCCTTCAGCTCATCCCTCTCCCTTGTCAGGCGACTGATCTCCGCCTCCTCCATGATACCCTTGGTGGGCGAAGACCTGATGGGTGTGGCTGACCTCTTGAGGAGCTTGAGGGCCTCGTACTCCCTCTTGTAGTAGTCCTTCTCCTCCTCCAGGACCCGCATGATGGTCTCGTACTGGACGATGCTCTGTACAACACAGACACACAGTTACAGTCAGATAGACAGGATAGGAACAATTCACACTCTCAAAGACACAGACAGCCGGGATAGAAACAATTCTGACACTCACAGACACAGACACACAGACAGCTGTGACAGCAATACAGACACAGACACACAGACAACTGTGACAGCAATACAGACACAGACACACAGACAGCCGGGATAGAAACACAGACACACACACACAGTTAGCCGGGTAGCACCACAGACACACACAGAGTCACAGACTCAGACAGCTGGGATAAAAACACAGACACACTCACAGACATACGTAGTCACGGACACAGACACACACACTCACAGACACACAGACAGCCAGGATAAAAACAATTCACACACTCACAGACAGAGACACACACAACACCCACAGAGAAAAAGTCAGCAATTCAGAGAAGGGCCATAGTTACCTTCTTATCGGACCTTGAGGGTGTGGCCTCCCTGACAGGGCTGCCAGCGCGGGATGAGGGGCGTGACCGGATGGGGCTGCGGGCGCGGGGAGGGTCGCCACGGAGGAGACGCTGCAGCGACTCAGCCTGCTCCCGGTAGTAATCTCTCTCCTCCTCCACACTACGGATGAATGCATCTAACTTGCTGGGGATCTTGCCTTTCTTCACGGGGCCATTCTTTCGCTTCAGACGCTCAATCTCCAGAACTAACTCCTTCTCTGTGTCACAAAATAACAGGATCCTATTTAATGGACAAGATATTATAAAACTTTGGTACTCCTATAAGGGATTGACTTGATCACATAAACTTCACCAGTTTAAACAGCGTGACACATACACAGTGACACAACTGACACCTCTGTTGTAGGATACACATCATTATTCCTTGTGTTTATGTTTGCTTAAAACATCAGCTGACTGTGTTGTCAGTGTTAGCGTATTAATGTTCACTGTTGCAGTCCGATGCAAGAAGGGTTGAATCTTAATTTGACTGGTGCATGTAAGAAGCTATCATTACATATTAGGCCACTCTTTTTTAATTTTATGTTTTACAGATTTATTCCAGCTTTTCCACACACGGTTGGTCAAAATAAAAATAAAAACATAAAGCTATGTCAGTCATTTATTTGTTTATATGAAAGTCTTTCTGCTGTGGAGTTAATACTTCAGCTAACTTCTTGAATCACTGATAGTGAAGGTGAGGTGAGGTGAGGTGAGGTGAGGTGAGGTGAGGTGAGGTGAGGTGAGGTGAGGTGAAATTTGGTTGAACGTCGCGTCCAAGATTATTGCACTTATATAGCGACGTGCAAATACCATCTTTTAACGTCTTTTGGTATGACGCGGCCGGGGATCAAACCCCGGACCTTCCGCTCTACCACTAGACCAAGGAGGCTGTGATAGTGAAGGAGACATGGAATTTATATACAACATATCATATTGTATAAAAGGGTCTAAATTACTAGCAGGAGGTACAATAAAAATAATTCTTCTTATGTTTAATTTCTTTCTTTTCCAGTTGCTTTTCAGAAGGGACAGGCCAGTGAAACAAAACATAAAAAATGGCTCATACTTTAGATGCTACATATGAATTATATTTACTTGAAAGGGAAGGAAGGATTCAAAAGCTCTCATAGGCATCTTGTTTTGCCCATTAATGTAAAAGTTTATTTTACTTGTGAAACAATCTCGAAATAAACTTTAATGGAGTTCAGGTTTTTATGCCTATGTTTGGAGAAACAACTGGCTATTGCTGTGTGAGCAGTCTTGGTAATTATGAGAACACAACTATCTCAACCGGTCTGGTTCTCACCGTTGGCGGTCATCTTGTTGCAGCGCTGACTGAGACGTCGTTTCTCCTCCTCGATGCGATCAAGCAGACCTTCCAGACGAATGTTCTCATTCTCCTTGGAAGAGAACCTCATTTTCATTTCGGAAAGTTCCTTCGACATACGCTTTGTTTCCTAGACGCCAAAGGGAAAATTCATACTATTTTCTTCTGATAAAATCATTTCCAGAAAAAGCATTTCACTAAACTATCTCATCTAGTTAATGAATTAAAAATCTAACACAAGCTCTTTTAAAGAATTGTTTGCAAATATCCAAGCAGATTCTCAAAAGCAAGGTGACTTTAACTAGTGCCTAGATTTGCGATTACATAAAAGGAGAAACAGTGGGATGGTCACATGACACAACAATTACGAATTACGAGGAAATCAGAGTAATGCTATACTTATTACACACTACAACAGTCCACAGTGCAATCACAACAACAAACACACAGTCCTCATACTGGAGTATTAGACTATCTGAGTTTTACGTATTTGCGTACTCCATTTGACAGTCCACAGTGCAATCACAACAACAAACACACAGTCCTCATAATGGCGTATTAGACTATCTAAGTTTTACGTATTTGCGTACTCCATATGAACATCTTGCTACTGTTTTAATGAATTCCCATGAATACTAGTACCCGGTAGTTCTCATTACATGATCATAGTTTGATGAACAAATAACACATCTTCCAAATCACTAAAACATTTTATGAACATCCAAAAACGTTTCAACTTCATCCTGACAGATTAACATTATTTTCTATTTCATTCAGACATTTACAAAGAAAACCTGAAAGTTACAATTGTCTGTCAGACTTAATAAGCGATTTAAATATTATGCTTGTTTGTTTGTTTGTTGTTTAACGATGTGTTCAGAAATATTCCAGCTATATGACAGCCGTCTGTACATAAACAAGTCTGGACAAGATTTAAATATTATGAATCAAACCTCTTATTTCTTTTCTGTACATAATTACAACAACCTTTAGAATGCTACTAGTCAAATTTCCTTTTATTTGATTAGGAATCTAAACAGATGCAAAGAGTTATCTGACATTTTAGCAGGTAACATTTCCTGAACTTGTTCACCAATTCAAGAACCATATCGTATAACTATTTTCATAAATACTATCTATTCTGCACAACAATATGCAATAATGCGACTGGTAATTTGACACTGAACTCATCTTTTTGTCCTATTCTACATCAACATCCTATTATTTATTATAATAATTTAATTCATTCATTCTACACAACACTTTATAAGAATGTAACACGTTATTGGACATTCATATCAGGCCTTTCGGATATTAGCAATTCCTGACCATTTATATTTTTTCCTAGTTGTTTTTTGTTTTTGTTTTTGTTTAACGCCACACTCAGCAATATTACAGCTATAAGATGGCGGTCTGTAAATAATCGAGGCTGGACCAGACAATCCAGTGATTGACATCATGTGCATCGATCCACATAATTTGGATACGAGGACATGCATCAACCAAGTCAGTAAGCCTGACCACCTGATCCCGTTTGTTGCCTCTTACGACAAGCATAGTCGCCTTTTACGGCAAGCATGGGTTGCTTAAGACCTATTCTACCCCGAATCTTCACGGGTCTTCTCCGAATTGATGATGGTCTATTTCAACAAAGTATCATTATTAATTTCATCAGAATTCTATGCAAGAATATATCAAGTTATTAGAAATTCAAATAAAATTTTAGAAAACTTTCAGAAAGTAATTTCCTGAATACAGTAAACTACGGTTATAACGAACTAAAAGGGACCACCCATTTTAGTTCGTAATAACCGTAGTTCGTTATAAGCATATATACAGCATATATACAGCATATATGCAACACATGGCCGGGGCTAACAAGTAAGTTTGTTATATCGGTCAGTTCGTTATAAGCGTGTTCGTTATAACCGTAGTTTACTATATTTAATTTTCTCCCGTGTTAGATAAGTATGGCTATCCACATTCTCTACAGTACACTATGAACAGGCAGGCTACAGACAGTGGGTACACCTACAGCCTTGTACTGGGCGACGGTCATGTCGAGTCCCTCCAGCTCGAAGCGCGACTTCTCCAACTCCTCCTGTGGGGGGACAGAGTGTGTGAGTGAGGACTACTATACAAGCACTACACTACAGTGAGGGAGGGGTTACACGTCAGAGTTGTCTCGGGAATATCTCAGCCACGTGACGCTGATCTAACATGGGCTTCATATTACTACAAAACAGCAAAGTGTGATCAAAAAGAAGAAAGTTGTATGTTATGAGTGAGAGTTGCAGTTTAAGGCTGCTAAGAACAGGATTTCCGTTCTATCACGGCGTGACAGCTTGATATTGGATGAAAGCCTACAGTTACACGTGACTGTGGTCAATCCCGCAAGCATGGGTATGGTTAGGACAGTAGTTGAAAAGTGACACTGCCCAGCCACATGCAGTATCTCGACTACTATGCCACCTCGGATCTCATGATAGAATCACAAAGCAATACAGTACAACAAATCTACATCACAAATCAATAACAAACTATCAGACTGGCTAGAAATTAGTTCCTATAAAATAGTACTATACATAAGAAAACTATACATAAGTCAGAACAAAGGAACTAGAACTATTGAACAGCTAGATTTATTTACACAAGAAAGAGATGAAAAGTAAACTGCTGATTGACAATGACAAACATGTTTCATAAAATGACTGCAATATAAAAACACTGAAAGCTTGTAGAGTGAGTGAGTGAATGTTGTGTAGCGCCACTGACAGCAATATTCCAACTACATCCAAGGCCTGTGCCTAGAGCAGACAAACCAGTGAATGAAAGAATGAGCAACAATCCTCGCCATCGTGCACGATGCCACCAGCCAAATCATCTATCCTCTGGTCGATATTGAAAGAGCTAACATTGTTCCATTCATGTAGTTGATTTTTCACTCTTTCTTTGATTCATAAAGATTCTTCAAAATCCACAGAGCAATCTCAGCACTATGGCCAATGTTTGAAAGAAACTACATTGCCAGTCTGCCATCAGGACCCACAGAAGCTGCAGGTCCCGACTGAACAGTAAGGTCCCTCATTTAAATAAAAATCAACACATAAATTTACTGCAGGGACACATTCAAATTTGAAACCATGAGCCCCGACACGAGTTTCGGGCAGGTGCTTATTTCAAACACTGACTATGGCCATCATATTTCCCATACTTTGTTTAACATATTATAACAAGTCTTGGCCCTAAGGAGTGTCAAGCAAGCCCCAGTGCATATCACAATGATTACCTTCGCCTCGAACATCTCCCTGTCGGCCGTCTTGACAACCTTCTCCTTGTCCCCTTGAATGCGTTTGGCAATGCGGTCAACATCGTGAAGCTCCGCCTCCAAGTCGCGGATCTGGGACTGCCGTTTCATCAGCTTAGAGTCTGCATCTGTGATCTTGTAGTTGGAGTCATGGAGCTTTCTTTCAAGCTCACGGTTCTTATTACTCATGAAGTCCACCTACAAAGGCAACAAGGACTCTCAGTTGTTAACATACACTGTAGTTTCCGTGACACACAGAAAATAACTTGACTTCACTAAACTGGAGCCAACTGATCTTAGAATGCTTTATCTTAATTCTTTGAAACAAAATGAACAAATTCGCAGCTAGCTAATGTATACGTCAAGTTTCTGTTGGGCCGCAGTTCACAATATACTGACTCCAAGCCAACAAGTCCGTGTTTTAGCCCCTTAATGCTGAGCTCCAGGCAGGGTAACAACAAGTACCATGTAGTAGCATCTTTTGGCATGCCACGGCTACGGATCAACCACCGACCTTCAGCTTTCCAGGCAGACGCTCCATATCAACTAGACCACGGGAGAGGTGAGTGAGTTAATGAGTTGTATAACACTATCAGTAATGTTCCAGCGAGGGGCCATCAAAGCTGGCATTCAAACATGGAGAGAATCAAACACAACTCTTTTGTGTCTCCACTAGGCTACCCCAAACCCTATGTTTGTTTGTTTGTTTGTTGTTTAACGCTGCACTCAGCAATATTCCAGCTATATGACGGCGGTCTGTAAATAATCGAGCCTGGACCAGACAATCCAGTGATTAATATCATGAGCATCGATCCATGCAATTGGAATCGATGACATGCATCAACCAAGTCAGCGAGCCTGACCACCAGATCCCATTAGTCGCCTTTTACGACAAGCAGAGTCACCTTTTACGGCAAGCATGGGTTGCTGAAGACCTATTCTACCCCGGAATCTTCACGGGTCCCCAACCCCTATGAGGGTACAGAGACCGACCAGAACGTCTAGAGTGTAAATATGAAGTTGTAGATTTGTTCAATGCAGCAAGGATAAAGCAAGTCAATAGTCAAAGCATCACCTGGTTTGAAGGGTAGAAGTGTAGTAACAGGGGTAGCACGTGGACAGAGGAAACAGGCAAATACTACGAGGTGTGTGGCTGCAGTTAGTACCACCTGGAACCTATTCTCTAGCTTGAAGTATTGTGACAAAAATGACAACATTTAAATCATAACCATCTGCTTGAACTGAAATTCTCATTGCTGCTTTTATGCTACCCTATAGAATCTCCAGAGTGTTGGGTATGGGAGAGGGTGTGACTCACCTGTATGTTAAGGTGTGAGATCATCCGCTCGTTGGCGCGGTTGCGCGTCTCGAGTGCCACCACATCGGCCGGGCGGCCGCCGTCTAACATCCTGCTCATCCTCTCTATTTCCTCATCTCTACCTTCAACCTGGAACATAACACAACAACATCAGTCACTGTATACAACATCACACCCTGCATGTGTTCATGTACAATTCTGTTATATCTATATACAGTAGGGCTGTTACGATTCACTCGCGTATTCAGTGAATTAAACCGTATCCATTCATGAATTGAATATTTTGAATATGCAAGCATCTGCATATTTACATACCCTGTACCTAAAGATATCACAAGAACATATTATATGCATAGATTTCATCAAACACAACACTCTTATAATATTAAGTTTGACAGTATTGTGGTCACTGGTCATTGTAGCATTTGAGCAGATACTAGTACCTGGATAAGTGCAGTATATAAATGTATAATATATTAATCATTAACAAACCATGTCAAATACTTTATGTTGTCAATGTTTCACTTAATATAACAAATAATACAAATAATATTTCAGCTGCTACATCAGACTTGTTATTGTATTCGTGAATTAATATTCGTATTCGTTACCCTATATTCGTGATACGAATCGTATACGCTTCATAGTGTATTCAGTGCAGCCCTAATATACAGGGATGACACACTGGAGTCTGTCACCTACCAACGCTCAGTTATAATTTTCAGTTATACAAAAATATGCAAAGAGAATAGACACGGTCAGTGATTCTGTGTGGTACCACAGAGCGAGCATGTTGAGAGATAACGTGATCTTCATGTCAACTTAGTAAGAAATCTGATACTTAGCTCATAGTATTGCTGTGAGGGAAACTCCAGTATAGGACCTGACAAGAATTGAGTTACAAGCTGGTCAGATTAATACTAAGACCTCCCTCGATCTGGTTTATGGGATCATGACTCCATCTTGTGTAGGCACAGGTCGTTGTTGCTCTATGACAATATGAATCAGTTAATGCAACCATGACGGCCGATTAGTCTAACGTTGTGTAAATACTGGACTACTTTATGTGGACTTCATTGATATTAAAAATGATACAAATTTTCTCAATATATACTCTCCAAAAAAAGTAGAGGATCATGAAATATATTTGATTTATTTATTAATGTAAATGTCAGAAGATTATCCCCTACTTTGAAGAGTATATATTGTGAAAATATGTGTATCATTTTTGTACATATTGAGTGAGTGAATATGGTTTTACGCCGCTTTTAGCAATATTCCAGCAATATCACGGCGGGGGACACCAGAAATGGGCTTCACACATTGTACCCATGTTGGGAATGGAACCAGGGTCTTTCGGCGTGACGAGCGAACGCTTAAATAACTAGGCTACCCGACTGCCCCTTGGACATAATGCAACTACAACTATTTGAATAGTTGCTAGCAGATGCAGATTTGCAACAACGATGCCTTGAAAACAATTGGGCTGAGTGAAACCTTTTTCTACAATCACTGCCTTCTCACCGACTACACACAGTCTATTTGGCACGACAGATTGTAATATGAAAGAATTGGGTGTCCTTAACTTCTTTTGAGTAGTATATTACCACCATCTGATGAGCAACCCGGAATGCGAATAACTTTTACTACCATCAGTGAAGCGTGCAAAACACAAAGCTTGTCTTTTGTCAGTGTGTGAAATACAATGGGCCGATTGATTGGCTGGTCGTCAGCTTGATCAACCGGTTACATTACAAAATCAATCTTGACAATTTCTCCTGCATCATGCGTAGTGCTTCACGTTAACAAACCCCAGCATGAACACCCCAGTGTGAGCACCATAGTTTCATAACCTCACAGATTTAAGAGTCGTTAATGAAAAAATAATTCAACATTCACCTGGTGTTATTGTTTAGCCCCGGATATGGAAAAGCTACAGAAAACCATTTCACACTATCAATTTCTAAAATCAATCCCATTTTGTCCAGGTGAAGCTTTTGTCAGAATACTTGTAGTAAATTCTTTTACAACCACAGGTTATAAATAAATCAATGCAGGGAGATTTGCCAGCAGGCATTGTGCACGCAGTGTGAGTAAGACGGTAAACATGGTAACTGCCATATCAACATCGTCTACAAAGTGGTGCAAGAAAGTACTTTTTTCATTCAAAAAGCCACTTGGGTCTATTACCTCTGAAACTTCCTCTACTAAACAATCAGTATGATCCAATGGGTAATTAGGCAGTTGGAATGACGAAAACCCTATTTACAAAACATCATATTTTAGAAACCAGTTCACAAATAATTCTAAAAGTATTTTGCAATATCAGTGTATGTTATTATTTTGTAAAAAGTGTTATTGAAATGCACTGGGTATGTTTTCACTCTGAACCAATAAACCAGAAGCCCTATCACAGAAAGAATTGCTGACTGCTAGCCTTTGTACTTTTCTGTCATAATTTATCAAATTATTTTTCTAATTCATAACAGAATGTCAATCAACAATTCTGTTTGACGGTTTGTATTGAAAAATATGCACAAAAACATACCTAAATGAGAATATCAGCTTCAATCAACGAGCTTGATTCCTTGGCTATAGCTGGTAATTGATACACAGACTGTCATGCAGTACAAGCAAGCCACAATCACGTCTGACATTGTACAATGACAAACAAACAGCCATCTTACAACTGCTACATTCCTCATTATCGCATTAGAATTAACGGATTAAGTCTACCCCCAGGGCCAGTCCCATGTTCAACTGTGCACTGAGGTTCCTGTTCGGCCCACTCATTCGGAACTGCCCAACCTGCACTCAACTCGAGTTCCTTACCTCCCTGATTAGAGAGCAAGTCTGGACACAGCTCAACACGTCGTACTTGTAAATACTATGGATCTAGGAGTGTAGACATTACATCCACTCCACTTGCTTTCAGACGTGTAGCATTATCGATCAGAGCAAAGATTCTCAAAAGGTAGACGTAATGGATGTTCACTTCTTTATTATGAGGAACACAATGTTTCGGAGTATATGCTTACTCCTTCATCAGGTGAATGATGTGAAAGATGTCTTGTGTTAATAGATAGGCTGCCATCTTCTTCACAGACTATTCCTTCGTTAAAATATATAGTTGAAGAGGAATTGTTGTTTTTACTGTAATTATTATTGGTTTGCAAGCTATGGGTCAGAGCAAACATCAACTTAAGATTTAAATATTCATTACGTGAAGATTAAGCTGAAATATATACACCATTCATAGCCATATATTGATAGCTACTGCAACAATTGTTGAGTTGCAACCAAATTATGTTAACCAAATTTGTTCCATTTACATGATAATCTACCTTCAAAATGCAACATCAAAGTTGCAGGGAATATCAGGCACTTGCTTACCTGCTTGAAACATTGTCCCTTTATTTAAGATAAACTTCTCGTGAGAAGATACCAGGGATTTATCCCCTGGCAGGCAAATTTGAAAAAAATTGTTATTTTGTTTAAACTTGGGATTTTTAAAAAGTTCATATTTTCTTAAATTTAGGGGAATTTTGAGATTGTATTTAATACAATATCATAAAACAAAGCATTAAAACTTGTTCCTATTTATTGGTCTGTTATAAGTGCATACAGGTTACTTCTGCACAGCATTAAAAGTAGTTATTAATTATATATCTCTTAATACATAGTAACATGAAATGGGAAATGTTTAGTTCCAAATTGGGAATTTTTATTGACATTTGCTGCAGACTTGGGGCTGAATATTGGCCTGTGAGTAGGTCTAGATAAATGCATGAATGTAATTCTTTTAACAGTATCCCAGCCTACACATTATCATTTCTCTCCGCAGTTACACTATCACTATATCACTATACAGATGTGTACATATTAAAGCCTTCCTTTCTCATCTCCCTGCAGTTATCTCAAACAAAACTATTGAAACATGTCCAGTAGAAACATTTACCAAAACCTGCAATGATACCCATGAAACATACCTCCTCTCCTCTTCAAACATATATCCAACCTTCCATCAATGCCATGAAGCATACAATGTTGAAGCAAAGACTCCAGTCTAGAGTTCCTTCACAATTATTATCAATTACCCTGGCACCAAATCCCTGACTTACACGGCCGGCTAGAGCTATACACTCTGAGGTAATACAGGGATTTGTCCCTGACAGTACACCTGCTATGCTGTAGGCGGTAATACTTGCCCAACGTAACTCCTGTCTGCCGGTCAATCTGGCGTGAACAACTTGGGCCATTTACTGACTTGTGTACAACAGTCTGATGTAACACATACAGTAAGCTTATCAAGTGGGGCTGCAGACATCATGTTAAGCCTGTGTCCACCCACTTGCCCCACAATTAGTGAAGGACTTAACAATGATTTGGAGATAATTCACTGTTGACAAATGGCAGTTGACGTTTGGGTTGGATGGTATCAACAAGTTTTCTTTAGTTCTTATGATTTGATTATTTTGTATCACACAGTTCCTCAGAAGAGAGAAAAATTTGTTTCAAAAAAGATTACCCCATCAACCTCAAATTTGCATCTCTCAAAAATTCGAGACAACCAACAAAACTACACATATCCTGCCTACATTTGGAAAAATAACTAGATATATAAAAGTTTGAAACATAAGTGTTTGTGTTTTTGAAAGGCATTTAGAAGTGATACACATAAGGAAGAGAATACATGGATGTCAACTTATTTATTATGAGGAACACATCGTTTCGGAGTATATACTTACTCCTTCATCAGGGGAAGGAAGAGAATATATGGATGTCAACTTCTTTATCAGGTGAAGGAAGGAGTAAGCATATACTCTGAAACGTTGTGTTCCTCATAATAAAGTAGTTGACATCCATATATTCTCTTCCTTATAAGTGTTTGTATTCCATGGAAAAATCTCTAAAATTGCCAATAAAGACATTTAAACTAATGGCTCAACAAACCAGTGCTTGTTCACAAGTTTGAAACAACAAATTCCCTTTTCATAGGACAACTAGCATGAGGAGTAATGAATAAGACTGTCATAGCCGAGTCAACAATTCTAACGGCTATACCCCATACTGACTGTACTGTCTTTCCGCCGTCATAAAACAAATTTGATCAACCCATATAAATTTCC